TGATGCTGAGGGGATTACTATACCAGATCTCAAACTATACTATAGAGCTGTAATAAAAACAGCATGGTACTGGCACAAAAATAGACACATAGATCAATGGAACATCACTGAAGACCCAAACCTGAGTACACGCAATTTCAGCCACCTGATGTTTGACAAAGGTACCAAGAACACACAATGGAGAAAAGACAGCATCTTCAACAAATGGTGCTGACAAAACTGGATCTCCACCTGAAGAATCCTTATTCTTTCACCCTGCACAAAAGTCAACTTCAAATGGATCAAAGTCCTCAATGTGAAACTCAAAACTCTGAAACTGTTAGAAGACAACATTGGCAGTAACGTATAAGATAAAGGTGTAGGAAAGGACTTTCTAAATCAGATACCAGTTGCTCAGGAATTAAGGTTAGCAATCAACAAGTGGGACCTCATTAAGCTAAAAAGCTGCTTTTTTTTTTTTTGTCTTTTTGAGACAGGGTCTTCCTGTAGCCCCAGCTGTCCTGGAACTCACTATGTAAACCAGGCTGGCCTCGAATGCACAAAGATCTGCCTGCCTCTGCCTCCCAAATGCTGGGATTAAAGGCGTGCACCACCACATCTGGCACTAAAAAGCTTCTGTACAGCCAGTGTTCTTAATTGCTGAGCCATCTCTCCAGCCCTCCAATTTTTTTTTTTTTTTTTTTTTGGCTTTTTGAAACAGGGTCTCTCTCTAGCCCTAGCTGGCCTGGAACTCACTGTGTAGACCAGGCAGGCCTTGAACCCACAGAGATCCACCTGAGTGCTGGGATTAAAGGCGTACTCCACCACACCTGGCTTTAGGGACCCTTTTCATACAAACCTACAGCAATGGTGTCAGCATGCACAAGACCCATGCAAACTTAAGCAGACAAAAACCCAGCACAGAACTATGGAAATGAACAGTAGTCCCCAATCTTAGTTGAATTATTGGCAGCTGATTACAGCTGGGTGAGGAAGAGCTGATTTTTTAAAAGGGAGGGACTCTAGATTAGGCTGACTAGATCCCAGTGGATGCACTTGTACTGAAGGACATCTAGGGACACTAACTTTACATGATAGCCCTTAACACAAATGATAGAATGTATGAACTCCAGGGGGAGTTTATGGGAGGTGCCAGAGGGAAGGGGGGTATAAAGATGATTTTCTGAATGAAATACACAAAAATTCAAAAAAAAACAAAAAACCAGCATTTGGGGTAGAGATGGCTCAACAGTTAAGAGCATTGGCTGCTGTTGTAGAGGACCTTGGTTCAAATCCCAGCACCCACATGGTGACTAACAAGCATCTGTAACTTCAGTTCCAGGGGATCTGACAACCTCTTCTGATCTCCACAGGCATTGCACAACATGGATGCACTTAGGTACATGCAATCACTCATACACATAAATAAAATATTTTAAAAAATCAAACATCTGCTGGGCATGGTGGTACACGCCTTTAATCCCAGCACTGGGGAGGCAGAGCAGGTGGATCCTTGTGAGTTCAAGGCCAGCCTGGTCTACATAGTGAGTTCCAGGACAGCTGGGGCTACAAGGAGACCCTGTCTCAAAAACGACCAAAAAAAAAAAAAAGTCAAACATTTGAAAATATTCTCAAATTCCCTAGGGAATGACAAGTCTTATTTTTTTCCTTGTGAGACTGGAAAAATTTAGATGCCTGATGTGTTTTTATGACAAAATATACAAGATTACATTTTTTTAAAAAGCAGGTGTGATGGTGCACACCTATAATCACAACCATCTGGAGTGCTGAATCAGGAGAACTGCTAAATTCAAAATCAGCCTGGGCTACACAGAGAAAACTAGGCCAACCAGGGCTACACAGCATGACCCTGTTTAAAACGAATGTCCAGCCCAGTGTGGTAGTGCACACCTTTAATCCCAGCACTTGGGAGGCAGAGGCAGGAGATGTGAGTTCCAGGCCAGCCAGGACTACACAGTGAGACCCTGTCTCAACACTCCCCCCTCTAAAAAAAAAAGAAAGAAGGGGACTGGAGAGACAGCTCAGCAGTTAAGAACACTGGTTGTTCTTGCAGAAGACCTGGGTTTGAATCCCAGCACCCACATGGCAGCTAACAACTGTCCATAATTCAAGTCGGGGGGGATCTGACAACCTCTTCTCTCCTCCGAGGGCACTGCACGACACGGGTGCACTTACCTACACGCAAGCAATACACACATAAACATAAAATAAAAATAATAAATAAAATATGAAAAAAAATTTTTAAAAAGAAAGAAAAAACATAGCTCCTGAGGCCCAATATTTGATGTTGTTCTCTGACTGCTACAGGCACATACACAAACATGTGTAGGTACACAGGTGTAGACACATACACAGGCATACACACACTAAATAAATATAAAAGAGGAAAAAAATATTTGAAACTGTGTTCAGTTTTTTAAAAAACTAACTTGAGGCCTAGGATCAAATCCCAAAAAGTTTCAACAGATTTCAATACTGCAGGTTGAGCTAAGGCAAAAGTAGTTACAGTGACTGGAACAATAAGCAATTGCTACAGGTTTCCTTTTGGGAAAAGAGGGGTACTGGCTACATGCCAACTGTCAATGTCCTTGATGGCCTCTGAATTGTGGACTTTGAAATGGTTAAAGTGGTATCACAGATGTTTACCTTTTTTCCTTTTTAAAGACAGGGTCTCACTATGTAACTCTAACTGGCCTGGAACTCACTACGTAGACCAGGATAGTCTTGAACTCAAGGGATCTTCCTGTCTCTGCCTCTGAGGTGCTGGGATAAAAATCATGTGCCACAACGCCCAGTAGAAAATGGAATTAAACCCACATGCACACATACAAAACAGAAGGAAGTCAGGTACACTGGCACATGCCTATAATCCCAGCACTCAGGAGAGTGAGGCAGGGGGATCATGAATTTGAGGTAGCCTGGGCTACATAGTGATACCACTTCAAAATGTAAAAGAGGAATAGTTGGGGTATCAACTCAGTGGTAGAGCACTTGCCTAGCATGAGAGAGGCCCCCTGAATCTTGGAGGAATTGTCAAACAGTTTAAAATGTGACACTGTAAAGCCAGCAGGTGGCTCTGTGGAACAATGGCTATAATCATTAAGACTAATGAATACAACTTGGGAGAGCATGAAAAAAAAACAGAAAAAAACAGTCTAAGATACACAGCACACATCTGAATAAGATCTGGAAGAAGATATTGGACTAAGCTTAATGCCTCAAAAACATCAATGTCATGAAACCTGAACTCTGGTCTGAGTAACCATCTCACCAGATGACCTTGGAACCAAACTCAATGTCTGGCCCCAGGCCAGCACTGCCACCAGACATGGAGAGAACTGGCAGCATTTGAACAGTTCAAAGGTTGTCCCCCAACTTCCATACTGCCCCATCGTTATGTGAACATCCTTTTTAGGAAATATACACGCTGAAGAATTTAGGTATAAAGGGACAGGGTGTCAGCAACTTCCTCTCCAACAGTTCAGGCTCAACTGGACCCAGGGCTTGAGTTTAGAAATCAGTTCTGCGTGAGATGTTTCAGTAAATAAGTTAACTCCTTGCTGAAGCCAAGAGTTCATGGGTTCACTGCCCTCACCAGGAGAGTGGCGGGCTCAGGACAGCCCCTTGAAACACCCCATTGTGCAACCAGAGCTTGACTTTAGGTCAAGGTTACCTCATCAAGGAAAGGGACATGTAGCTTCCCAGGTTGCCCTGTGACCTGAGGTCCCAGTTCTGAGACTCAGAAACCCCGGCAGGCCTACTGCTTGGCGACAGCTGTTATTTACATTATGTGCAGTGCTGCTCAATATGGCTATGTGGACTTTTCAACCTGGACGCTTCTCCACAAGTGGAGGATGTGGGCCTGAGCCCAAAGCCAGCCAGATAGGGGCAGAGTTCTGAGCCAAGATAGCTGGGCCCAGCTAGACACAGACTGTTTGGGCTCCCCTTCTGCTCTCCCAGCCACACAGACTTCCCCTTTCCCATCACATTGAGGAATGGCCCAAAGACAGGCTCAGGAGCCCTCTGAACACATGGGCACACTGTTCCTGGCCTCACAGGGTCCCCAGGTGAGGTGAGATAAACTGGGCTCATATCCCACCCAGCTCTCTGCCCCTCTGGCTTGCACTGCTCTGAGTCAAGGCAGACCTGAGGAACCCAGGGACTGTGGGAACTAGAAGACCCTTCAGTGCTTACCTGGAACCAGGAGGAAGGTAGGGACACCCAAATTTCTGAAAGCTGCCCAGGCCATCCCTGCCCTCAAGAGCACTGGATAGAAACTTCCTGAGAGCCAGGTGGGCCTCCTTTGCTGGAAGACACATTTGCCTGCCCTGCCCATGGGGGCCCACCAGTGCAGTGGAGGAATCAGAATCTAAACATCCAGGAGGGAGTGCGGCTCCCTGGCTCCACACACCCAGTGCACCCAAGGCCCACTGCTAGCAGTGGGCACAGCAGTCCACACGTAGTGACAACTCCAGGTTGCTGGGCATCCCCTGGAAGGTGGTCCTGAGGGGTCTTTGGTCTCCATCCCGCCCTCCCTCCAGAGGCAGACGTGTCCATCCTTTCTTTCCCAGCTTCTTCCTCTTTGCACTATTGTCTGGTTGCTTCACTCACAACATTGGCCCAAAGCAGTTACAAACTCAGGAACCCTGGACCAAAGCCAGTTTGATTGGCAGCAGGACCTGGGGCAAGTCCCCCTCTCGTTGGTTGCTCAGGGCTGGGTCCTGAGCATTTCTATGCTAGGCAGAAGGCTGCCTTTCAGGTCTCCACTTCCTCCCATTTGGGCCTCAGGGCCACCTCCGGCCTGGCTCCTGTCCCTCTTCCAGGCACTGCTCAGCCCCGCCCCCCCATCTGTTTAAGAGACCCTAGAGGACCTTCCAATCCAAGGGTCCTGGCCTGCTGGTGGACTATGCTCCCAGACACTCACCTGGGGTGCAGATCACACATAGTGTTAGGCCAGGACTGTGGCCAGAAAACCCAGGGAAGAAAGATGCTGGTGCAGGTCAGGGTACAGGTGTGCTTTATTGGCTACAGGTGGTTCCCACACCGGCCTGGCAGACCACAGCCTGCACTCATGTGACCTCTACCATGGGCCTATGCCCCCGCGTTCCCCCTCATGACCTTCCCAAGACTGGGACCCTGGGGCAGGAGATACCGAAACTTCTGCTACGGAAGGCCTGGGCATTTTGTCCACCTCCTTCTGACCCTGCCCTATCCCTAGTGTCCTCGCTGAGCAGCAGGACCCACAGGAACAGCCCTGGGGAGTGCTGGGATCACTCAGCCCTCTGGTGGCTCCATCTCCAGAAGATTACTCAGATGAAGCAAGAGGCACTGTTGGTAGGTTGTCAAGAGGTAGCTGAGCCCAGTTCTGAATTGAGACTAATTTGTCCTCAGTCATAGGTCACAGGAATTGGTCTTTCCTTTCCCTGAGACAGACAATTTGGGAGGGTACAGTAAGGGACACGATGAGCCAGCATGAGGCAGGTCCCTTCATCATCTGACCAGGCATCAAAGTTCAGGCCTGTAGTTCTGCCCTTTCTCTAGGTCCATAGGCAGCCAGGCAGGCAGGTGCTGGGCCCTCAGAAGGGGCTCAGCTCCGGTAGCTCCGGAGCAGATGCCCAGCAATCACCAGCCTCTGGATCTCACTGGTGCCTTCATAGATCTCGGTGATGCGGGCATCTCGGTAGTACCGCTCTGCTGGCATCTCTGTTACGTAGCCCATGCCGCCCAGGATCTGGATGGCCTAAGAGGAAAGAAAAGCAGGCACTCAGAAGGCAGATGTACCCCAGAGTGTGGAAAGACAGGGCTGGATCTCAGCCTCACAAGGGGCACCGCTGGGGGAGGGGCTACACCCATGCTCCCTGCTCACCTGGTGACTGATGGCTGTTGCAGCCTCAGAAGCAGCAAGCTTGGCCATGGCAGATTCCTACCCACCAGGGATGGTAGAGTCAGGACCTTCGCTTCAGGGGAGCCCCCAGCTCTTCGCCCTCAGCAGGAACCCCTTATGCAGCCTCCCCCTTAGCACAGTAAACCCTCAGGCGCATACCTGACCTCTCTCAGCCCCCCACCTGACCTCTTCAGCCCCGCAGCCTTGGGAGCCCCTCCCCACAGGCACCTTGGTGAACGGCTTCTTATTGTCCTTCAACATGGCAGCACGCCAGGTCAGCAAGCGAGCACTCTCCAGAGCCAGGGCCATGTCTGCCAGCTTGAACTGCAATAATCCGGCCCCACCCATCAGCAGATGCACTCCTTCTCTCCTGGTTGGGCATGGGAGCAGGTGCAAAAAGCTTCCCTCCCTCATCCCAGGCCCAGCTCCTTAAGTCCCACCTCCCACCTCCTACCTGGATGCTTTGGAGTTTGGTGAGGGGAGCCCCAAAGGCATTGCGGTTCTCAGCATATTTCACAGCACAATCAAGGGCAGCCTGGGCAATGCCCAGGGCCTGGGAGGCGATGCCAATGCGGCCCATGTCCAGGGTTTGCTGTGGGGAACGCCCAGTCAGTGGCTGCAGGCTGGGCCCAAGGCCTGGACCAGGAGACTACCCAGCTCACCATGGCTATCTTGAAGCCCATCCCCGGCTCCCCCAGCAGATTCTCCTTGGGGATGCGACATTCCTCAAAGATGAGGTTGGCTGTGGATGAAGCCCGGATGCCCAGCTTATCTTCCTTCTTGCCCAGTGTGAGCCCAGGTGTTGGCATGGGAACCAGGAAGGCACTGATCCCCTAAAAGACCCCAAGAGCTAGGGTGACTCCCCAGAACTGCTGCTGGAGCCCCACCCAGACCACAGCACCCCCACACAAGCTCCAGCCCCTCTATACCCAGCCAGAACACTCTACCGGCTTAGAGAAGTGGTGCTAATTCCAGGGGGGAAAGAAAGGACCCACCTCACCCCTGAGTAGGAACAGCTCCAGCAGGGCCCAGAAAAGAGTTCTGATCTAGAAATGACCATCCAGGGGTACACTGCCCATTGTGGGGCCCCCACCTTGTTTTGCCGGGACCTGTCTGTGCTGGCGAAGACCACAGTGGCCGAAGCCTCCCAGGAGTTGGTGATCCAGGCTTTGGTGCCATTGAGGACCCACGAGTCACCTTCTTCCCGGGCAGTGGTAGAAGCAGCTCCTGCATCACTGCCATTCCCTGCCGCACACACAGACTCAGGACCCTGTGTATCCCCACTCCTCATGGCACAAGGCACCAGCCTAGCCCCTGGCTTGGCAATCACAAAGATCCTGCAACTTAGGCTCTAAAGCCAGGGCCTGGTTTCCAAGAGAAAGCTCCAGCCCACTCCCAAAGCTTCAGACTCCAAGAGAACCCAGGGGTCAGTGTAAGAAGTGGGATGTCTTCAAGACAAAACCTTCACCCAAAATGGGCAGCACATCTCCTTGTACACCCAGGGAGCCGTGGTCCAGCCCAGCAGTCTACCCTGAGGCCTCTCCAGTGGTTCAAGACTCAATGTGCAGCAGGTCCCCCAGCCCCGCTTCTCCCTCTGAGGGAACCCAGTTCCCACCTGGGTCTGTCACCCCAGTTCTGAGGTAAGGAGATGGGGCAACCCTGCCTTGTTCAGTACCTGGTTCACTGAGGGCAAAGCAGCCAATTTTGTCACCATTGGTGAAAGGGGTGATCCACTGCCTCTTCTGCTCTGGAGAGCCAAACTTCAGGATTGGCCCCAAGTAGAGAGACTGGTGGGGACAGTAGGGAGTTGTTGGACACCACCTGCTCACCTCACCAGAGGCCCATCCAGAGGATCAAGGCCAGATGTGGCCACAGGCAGATGGGGCCTGAGACACATGGCTGGGTATACACACAGCCCCAGGCAGCTTCCCCACCTGTCCCAGGACCCAGGAAGGCTCACGTTGTTGACGCTCATGATGACTGCAGTGGAGGCACAGCCACGGCTGATCTCCTCCAGGGCAATGGAATAGGCCAAGTAATCCAAGCCTGCACCACTCAGTTCCTCAGGCACATCCATGGCCAGCAGCCCAAGCTCACCCATCTTCTTCACCTGGCCCCAAGGAGGGACGGTGGTTATGGCAGGGGCAGCTTCTGGGGCCCACTCTCCCCAGCCCAACACTCCAGATAGCCAGAGCATGCACACACTCAGCCTATGGACCCTACCCATCTACAATGATTCGATTCCCCTAGCTGAGGCCTGTGTGACAACACCATGCTGCCTCCACACTTTACATGTGTCCATCTCTCTGCCCATAGCCACAATAGCAAGCAGGCAGAAGGCACAGGATGTCCTTTAGAGGATTAGGAGGTCAGGAGCAGAAAGCATTGAGCCATACTGACCTTCCTTCATTCCCCGACCTGCATGTGTGCATGAAACACACACACACACACACACGCACCAACCATAGGACCTTTGCACATGCTGTTTCCTATGACAGCAATACTCTGCATGAACTAGCTATTATCTCTTCCCCCTTTCCTTCTGATCTCCACTGGACACTTGGCAATACTTCCACAGCTGGAAATTCCCATCTGTTAGCATGCTTAGCTTGACTATGATCTTCTGCCATGGCCATGGGAAAAAGACCCTGTGCTTTCCCTTAGTGCTGTATACTCAATACCAGTGAGCGAATATACTGATGACAAGAGTTCGGAACTTCTTTTTTGAAGCAACAACAATAGTGAGTCAATAATGTTCAGCTGCTGTGACTTCAGGTTCACTAGAAGCCAAACCAAGGGCCCATGTCCAGCTCAGTCATGAACTCTGAACCTCCAGAACTGTGAGTTAAATAAACCCCTTTCCTCTGTAAGTGAAAAAAAGTGCATCACATAGAACAACTTGGAGTCTGTGTTTGCCATTTGTTGAGACAGGGTCTCGTATAGCCCAGGCTGGCCTCAAATTCATTATGCAATGGAGGATGACTTTCTGATCCTCCTGTCTCCACTAGAGTTCAGTTCCCAGCATCCAACTGGGTGGCTCACAACCCTTGTAACTCTAGCTCCAGCTTCAAAGGATCTGATGCCCTCTTCTGACCTCTGAGGGCACACACAAGCACACACTCACATAAATAAATAATAAAGTAAATCTTCCAATAAAACTCACATTTAAAAAATATTAGTTATCTTGAGTATGTCTATGTTCACCATAGTGCATGGTGGTGCACACCTTTAATCCCAGCACTCGGGAGGCAGAGGCAGGTGAGTCTCTGTAAGTTAAAAGCCAACCTGGTCTACACAGAGAGTTCCAGGCCAGCTGAGACTGTCTCAACACACACGCACACACACACGCACACACACACACACACACACACACACACACATTAAAAAAAAAAAAACCCAAAGACCTAATTCCCTTTAAAAAAACTTAATACTGAAATTATAGGTCTGCCACCATGCCCTATTGTTTTGATTTTGTTTTTGTTTTTTCAGACAGGGCCTCATTGTATAGCCTTGGGTGGCCTAGAATTTGCTATGTAGACCAAGATGGCCTCAAACTCAGAGATCCTCCTGCCTCTGCCTCCTGAGTGCCAAGATAAAAGATGTACACTGCCACACTTGACCTAAGAATTTTTTTTTTTTTAAATTTTACCCTTCACTGAGAAGGGGCTGAGGGCGGATCTTAGTGACACAGCACCAGTCTAGCATTTGCAAAGCCTGGGACTTGACACCTAGCAACCTTTTCCCTCTAAAAAATTTACACATTTCAAGGATAAGAAGTCAGAGGTTGGCTGTAAACATTGTTTCTAATTCTCCTTAACAACAAAATGGCACTGTAAACTCCTATTTATTTCTTTCTTTTGTTAGTTTAGACATAAAAAGACTAAAGTCCACTTAGGTTATGAAACAGCAAAGGCAAAAACAGGCACCAGCCTCCCCCTAACTCTGGCCTGCCTTCCTCACAGTCCCCTCCCTGTGGCCCTTCTCCTATAAACCTGCTATTCTATTCTGAGTAAATACAATATTCTTCAGGAAACAGCTCAGCACTCCCTACACGTGGGTCCTACAGGAGGCGCAGAAGCCTGTATCAGCTCCTCACCCACCAGCTCAGTGACGTCATGCTGGCCTCACTTTCCTGAGCTGATACTGCAGACAGGAAGTGTCTCCTCTGATGCAGTGTTTTGAAGATGACATGTATGTGTATGTACGCATACCTGAAATGGACAACTTCCAAACATCAGCTATAGACGATGACTTTGGTTTGGGGTTTGTTTTATTAGTTTGGGGTTATGGGGGTGTTTTTTTGTTTGTCTGGGTTTTTTCATTTGTTTGGTTGGCTTTTAGGTCTCAGAATGTAGCTCAGGCTGACCTTGAACCCAGGATCCTCTTCTCAGCCTCCTGAAAGCCACATGCTTTAATGTCTTCACTTCTGGCTTTTCTTTTTAATTGATTTTTTTTTTAATCTAAGGTGAAGACAGTAAGAGAATTCTCTACAGATAAAGTGGTTTTAACCAACCACAGCGGGAACCACAGCAGCCCAGAGCAGAGGAAGGTACAGGGCCAGCAGATGCTTGAGCTTGTGAGGATCCTCAAGCATCAGTGATTGGCTGGAAGGATTCCCATGGCCGGGTGTCAGGTTATGACACAGCTAAGGTTTCCTTAGCAGAGGACACAGGACAGTAATATAAAGTATGCAGATGCAAAGTTCAAGGAGGTCAACAGCAGACCCTGTGCAAGAGTTGCACAGATGTGTTTTCTTTCTGGCTGTGACAGAAGGCATTGCTGCCCAGGGAAAGTTACTCAGGTCTGAGAAACCAGATTTTTTTTTTTTTTTTTTTTTTTTGGTCTTTTTGAGACAGGGTCTCCCTGTAGCCCCAGCTGGCCTGGAATTCACTATGTAGACCAGGCTGGCCTTGAACTCACAGAGATCCGCCTGCCTCTGCCTCCCAAGTGCTGGGACCAAAGGTCTGCACCACCATGTCCAGCTCTTTCTTTCTTTCTTTTTTTTTTTTAAGATTTATTTTAATTTTATGTGTACGAGTGCTTTGCCTGCATGTATGTATGTACACCTATGTCACGCAATGCCCATGGAGGCCAGAAAAGGGTGTCAGGTCCCCTGGAACTAGAGTTATAGATGATTTGTTAGCCACCACATGGGTGCTGGGAACTGAATCCTGGTCCTCTGCAAGAGCAGCTAGTGCTCTTACCTTCTGTGCCATCTCGCCAGCCCCAAACCAGATTTCTTATGGTCACACAGGTGCACTTCTGCTGTGACATGTCATGATAACAAACCAAAAGCACTCCAAACTAGACAGCAGATATACATTGTGGCTTTTCTTTTTAGGTGAGGTCTTGGTATGTAGCCTAGGCTGCCCTTGAACCCTCAATCCTCCTGCTTCTCCTCCTGAGTGCTGGAATTATAGGCATGTGCCACCACTCCAACTGTAAACCCTGCCTTAATCTATGCATTAACTAGTCTGATACCCATTGTGTACATGTATGAAATTCTCAAAGAATAAATATCATATTATTTATTATCTGATACTTGCTAACGTGCAGCAGCATGCCCTAGCACCTGAGGCCCACAGATTAACATCATTAATCAGTAACTGCATGAGCAGGCCAAGGGTTTAGTTCTCAGCTCATATGCAGCTCAAGGAGATGGGAAAAACTCAGTAAACCAGGTTTTATTCTGACAGAAACAGGTGAGGCAGGCCCTTGGGCTTTGCTTCCTTTACTTCTCTTAGAATGCTCATAAAACCATCTGGGCTGGGTATCTTATTTTTTCCATTAAAAAAAATTCTTGGGGCTGGAGAGATGGCTCAGTGGTTAAGAGTGCATATTGCTCGTGCGGAAGACCAGAGCTCTGTTCCCAACACCCATGTTGCGTAGCTCACAACCAACTATAACTCCAGTTCTATCCTATGCCCTCTTCTGACCTCCACAGGTAACTAAGCACACATGCATATCCACACACATATAAATAAATAAAACATAGAATAGCAGGGTGTGGTGGTGCATACCTTTACTCCCAGCACACAGGTAGATCTCTGTGAGTTCAGGGCCAGCATGGTCTACACAGCCATGTCTTAGGCAGTGACCTCCCTGTTGCTGCTGCTCAAAGGCCTGTTTGCCTTTTCTCTTTCTTGAGGAACAAGTTTGGAGGGTGTGGTGGGGATGGGGGAGGCTTAACAGTACCATTTCCAAATAGAATGAGGCCTCCCCGCTGGCCTCTGGGACAGTACATGGATGGTGGATGTGGAAGGGTTTTGAAGGCAGTCAGAGCAGACTATGAAGTCTAGCTCCACACACTGGAAACTCTGGGAGGTTGCTTTGCTTACCCTAGCTGTATAGAAAAGGATGACAGGAGCTGTCAGGATGGCTCGGTGGGTAATGTGTTTGCCAAGCAAGCCTGACAGCCTGAGTTCGATCCTTGGAACCCACATAACAGTGGAAGGAAAGAGCCCACTCTACAAAGTTGTCCTGACTTCCACATGCGTGCACTTTGGCACATATGCTCTACCCCAACACACACACACACACACACACACACACACACACACACACACCATGTGCAGACACAATAATAACAAATATTTTTAGTTTGAAAAAAAGAAAAAAGAAGTCGTGGCCTAGAGAGATGGCTCAGTAGTTAAAAGCACTGGCTGCTCTTGCAGAGGACCCAAGTTCTGTTCCCACCACCCACATGGAGGCTAACAACCACCCATAACTCCAGTTCCAGATCTGATGCTTTCTTCTGGCCTCCTTGGGCATTGCACACACAGTTGTACTTACATACATGCAGGCAAAACACTCATATACATACAAATAAATAAAATGTACAAAAAAATTTTTAACGGCATCCAATGCCATGTACTTAGAACAGTATGTCACACATGTCCACCACTGTATAAGCATTTACTATTATTAGCTCAATCCCTGACACGTAGGAAGAATACTTATCGTCTGCCATTTCTTATTATTATTTTGGATTTAAAATCTTGGCTAAAGCTGGGCGTACTGGTGGACACCTGTAATCCCAGTACTCAGGAAGCAAAGGCAGGCAGATCTCTGTGAGTTGAGGTCTACATACTGAGTGGCAGGTCAGTGAGAGTTGCATAGAAAGACCCTGTCTCAAAAATAAATAAATAGGGGCTGGAGAGATGGCTCAGCAGTTAAGAGCACTGACTGCTCTTGCAGAGGACCCAGGTTCGATTCCCAGCACCCACAGGCAGCCGCAAACTGTCCTTCACTCCAGTTCCAGGGGAATCTGAAGCCCTCATCTGACCTCTGAGGCATTGCACAACACAGGTACACTCACATACATGCAGGCAACACACTCATACACATAAAATTAAAATAATAAATAAAATATTTAAAATAAATAAAATCTTGGCTAAAGGCCCAATGGTGAACAAGGCAAACTTTCAAGAGTACATACTAAGTTCCCTGCCTAGGGTCTCAGTGCCTCTGTTGTCACCCATACAAGGACAGGCGGCCACCCGTTGTCAGGTGGCCCCAGCACTCACCTGAGCTGCTGGAAAGAGATGCTCCTTGTCCAGTTGGGCTGCAATGGGCACCAGTTCTTTCTCGGCAAAGTCACGGCATGTCTGGCGCAGCATTTCATGTGTCTCAGGCAGTTCCACAGACTGGTAGACAGTATGCAATCTGCGCCAGTCCCAAGGATGGAGAGCTAGCAGCAGGAAGGGCAGCAGTCAGTGAAGGAGAATGCAGGAGCTCTTTAATACTTTTTTTTGTTTGTTTGTTTTCTTGCTTTGTTTTTGTTTTGTTTTTGAGACGGTCTCCCTGTAGCCCTAACCAGCCTAGATTCACTATGGAGACCAGGCTGGCCTCAAACTCACAGAGATCCACCTGCCTCTGCCTCCGGAGTGCTGGGATTAAAGGCGTGTGACACCACGCCCGGCCTTTAATACTTGTTAAAGTGTGTGTGTGTGTGTGTGTGCACACGTGCATGCGTGCATGTGCAGTCACATAATCTCAGAGGCCACAAAAGCCATCAGATCCCCTGGAGCTGGACTTACAGGTTAGGAGCCACCAACATGGGTGCTCAGTTCCTTTGCAAGAGCAAGTACTCTTAACTGCTGAGCCATTTCTCCACCCCTGAGATCTTTAAGAATAAGTAATAATAATAATCATAGCCAGGCATAGTGGTGCATGCCTATAATCTCAGCACTCAGGAGGCTGAATCAGGACTACATATTTGAGGCCAGCCTGGGCTACATAAAGAAGCCCTGGGGGCTGGAGAGATGGCTTAGATGGCAAGATGCCTGCTGTGCAAGCATGAGGACTTGAGTTTGGATCCCAGTGGTGCCGTATGCCTATAATCCTTTAGAGGGATACTCAGAGCTCACTGGCCAGGCAGCTTAGGCAACTGGTAGGCTCTACATTCAGTGAGAGTCCTGTCTCAATAAGCAAAGTGGAGGGCTAGTGAGATGATTCAACAGGTCAAGGTACTTGCAGCTAAACCTGAACCTGAGTTCAACTCCAGGCCCCACATGGTAGGAGAGAACTGACTCCCACATGTTGTCCTCTGACCTCCACACGTATGTCGTGGCATGCATGTGAGCACACACAGTAAGTAAAACATAATGATTGGGGCGGGGAGTATTTTTGAAACAGGGTGGCCCTGTAGCCCCAGCTGGCCTAGAACTTGCTATATAGATCAGGCTAGCCTTGAACTCACAGAGGCCCATCTCTCTCTGCCTCCCATGTGCTGGGATTAAAGATATGCGTCGCCATGCCCGGCTAAAATGTAATACTTTGTGTGTGTGTGTGTGTGTGTGTGTGTGTGTGTGTGTGTGTATTCATATGGGACTCCATTATATCTTTTTTTTATTATTTTTATTTTATGTGTATGAGTGTATTGCCTGCATGTATGTGAGTGCACCCGTGTCATGCGATGCCACGGAGGTCAGAAGAGGGCTTTGGATTCCTCTGGAACTGGAGTTAAGAATGGTCCATAGCCACCATGTGGGTGCTGGGAATCGAACCTGGGTCCTCTGTAAGAGCAGTCAGTGCTCTTAACTGCTGATCCATCTCTCCAGCCCCAATGTAATACTTTTTAAAAACCAATGGAGCACAATAAAAGAACATATTTGATATCAATCTCTGACCTCCATACATTATGTGTGCACACAGGTGCATGAAAACTTACATACATGAGCACCCAAAGGCACAGGTCCACAAACATGCACATACATATACATGCACAAAGTAAGATTGTCTCAAAAATAAAGACATGAAGAATCATGATCCACTAATTTAAGAGGTGAAGGTTTTACACACACCCAGGAGATACCTAGCAATGTCTGCAGACATATATTGGATGTCATGCTAGAAAGGGGACTGCTATTGGTATCCAGTGGCTTGAGGCCAAGGACACTCCTAAATATCCTAGCATTCACAAAACAACCCCCACAACAAAGAATTATCCACCCATGAGGCTGGGATGGCTCAGCCAGTAAGAACACTTCCTGCTCCTCCAGAGCACTAGAGTTAGGTTCCCAGCATCCATGTTGGGCAGCTCACAACCACCTGTAACTACAGCTCAGGGGATCTGATCCCCTCTTCTGGCCTCTTCAGGTATTGGCACACGAGTCATATACTCACAGAGACAAATACAAATACACATAAATTTAAAAAATAAAAATAAATCTTTAAAGAAAAGAATTAAGCTGGGCATGGTGGCACACACATTTATTAATCCCAACCCTTGGGAGGCAGAGGCAGGTGGACCTCTGTTAGTTCGAGGCCAGCCTGGTCTACATAGTGAGTTCTAGGCTAGCTGGGGCTATAGGGAGATCTTGCCTCAAAAAAAAAAAAAAAGTATAGTTTGGGCTAGGGGTGTAGTTTATTTGAGCTGGGGGTATAGCTCAGTAATATAGTGCTTCCCTAGCATTTATGAGGCCATGGATTCAATCCCTAGCACAACAGGCTAGCTGAATGCTCACTGCTTGCTGAACACTTCCTGGACACTATCTCATTCAATCTTCGGTATAGCACTAATTATAATAATACCACATCCCTGTGAACTCAGGCAAAGGTTTAAGTTCACTGAGTCGCAATTTCTATAAAATGTGGACAACAATAGCATTTGTCTCCTGGGAGTGGGAGGATTAAAGAAATACTAAATAAAAATGGTTGATTTAGCTCAGGTCTCAGTCGGAGGTTCCTCTCTGTTACTGGTTTGTTTTGTTTTGTTTTGTTTTGTTTTGTTTTGGTGTTTTTGAGACAGGGTCTCTCTGTAGCCCCAGCTGTCCTGGAACTCACTATGCAGACCAGGCTGGCCTTGAACTCACAGAGATCCACCTGCCTCTGCCTCTGCCTCCTGAGTGCTGGGATTAAAGGCGTGTGCCACCATGCCCGGCTCCTCTCTGTCATTGTATGGCTCTGGATTAGCCAAAGGAAGCCCTGGAGGCCTGGCCTGGGTTGCTACAGCAGGAGACAAATGTGGAAGGGAAAGGCACTGTATTAAAAATAACCCACAACGGCTAACATTATGGGACACCTGTTGGCTGCCAACCACTGTATTATTTATATGGATCCTGTAATCAACAGGTCTCTGAGGATGGTAATGGTTCACACATGGACCTATTGATGCAGAGAGGCTGAGCGTCTTGTCCAAGGTCACATATCAGAGTGGGAGTTCAAAATCAGGCCTCGCAAGGGAGGAAGGGCACAACCAGAACCTCCACTGGAGCTGAAACGAGGGACGGGGGTGTGGATGCAGCCATGCAAAGGAGCGGGCGATGGGGGTGCCAGGGTGGGAGTCGGAGCAGGAGCCAGGATTCCTGAAAAACCCGGCCGGGCAAGAGCCAAAGGCCACCCAACAGGGACAAAAGCCGCGCAGCCGCAGGGGGTTCCGCCCGCTGCAGCCGGACCCCGGCGGGCTCAGCCAGCCCCGGGGCTCGGCGGGGCGCAGCTCGAGCGCACTCACCTCCACGGAGTGGGCCACAGGTCCGGGCTAGCAGCGCGACGGCCATAACGGACACGGCGTGAGCCTACAGCTCAGGGACTTCAGGCGGTCAGCTCCGGGTTCCGGAGTACGGGGCGGCGCACAGGCCACGCCCTTCGTCCTGCAGGGGCGGAGCACAGGGCGGGCCCATCACTCTGCAGGGGCGTGGCCTAAGGCGGACAACTGCAGACCCTCCTGCAAGGGAAATGTACTAAGTGGGTCAGCGGCTGGTCCTGCTCTCATCTTTAACAATGGCGCTAAGGGCACAGGACCAAAACAAACAGGCAGTGAATCCTCATTCTCGGTTCAAGACGCTTTGTCCAAAGAATCCATTCCCCAATCCAATTCCATGACCTAAAAACCAAGCCCCTTCCGAACAGGCCTGTCATCCTAGCTACTCAAAGAGGCTAAGGCAAAAGGATCACTAGTTCAAGATCACTCTGTGTTCCAGAGTAAGCTCAAAGCCAGCTTAGGCAACTTGGCGAGACCCTGACTCAAAATAGAAAGTATGAAGAGGGCTGAGGATACAGCTCAAGTGGAAAACTGCTCTCCTGGCATGCATGAGGCCCCTGGGTTTAGTAGCCAGTATTAGGGTGAAAAAATAAAGAGCTAGTATCTACCTCTGCCCCCAACTTCTGCGGCCTGCTCCCTGAGCATCTTTACTCCGCCCATACAAGGCATGCAGCTGTTTAAGGGCTTGTTGCTGCGCTGGGCCTTTGTAGTCACTGTTCCTTTTGCTCCTCTTCATAAAAGCCCTCCGGCCTGGGCTGCCCTGCCAGTATTTGGCTCTCGCAGTTTCTCCATCCATCCTTTAATTTATGGCATTTTACACCAGGGAATTTTCTTACTTTTCGTCTCTCCCACTAATCCTGTGGGGTTTCAAGAACGGCTGGAGGCCTCATCTTGTTCTGTGCTCAGTATTTAGTCCCTTTAAATGGGGCTGCCAGGCATGAAGAGCTCTTCCGAGAGATAGCAAGAGTGAGGTGGAGCTGCTGCTTCTTTTCTGTTGCACTGCTGTCCTATGTACCTTCCAGTGACGGGGCAAAGCCCTGCTGGGAGTAAGGGAACTGCACCCCAATGCCTGATCCTTAGCACCCTCAGAATATCCTAACTCTGTCGCAGAAGCTGGAAGTCACTTGTCCCACCGGGACCGCCCGCAGCATAAGTCTGATTGGTTCTCCATGCCCTCCTGGCTTCCACACATCCCCTTAGGTTTTCTCCCCCCATAACCCAGGTACATGTCCTTAGCACACCCAAAATCCCACATCCTTCCGTGGGATTGCGCCACTTCTGTGGTGGTTTGAATGAGACTGTCCCCCATAGGTTCCAAGTATTTGGACACTTTGTCCTCAGTTGGTGGTGCTGTTTTGGGAGATCCTAAAAGATGTGACCTTGCTGGAGGAAGCATGTCACTGGGGGTGGGATTTGAGAGTTCTTAAATCTTGACAGGTTTCTAGTCACTCTCTGCTTCCTGTGCCTGCCTGAAGATATGAGCAGTTAACTTTCTGCTCCTGCTCCAATCACCTCACCATGCCTCCTTGTCATGACCAACTCTAATCCCCCTGGAACCTGGAAACTTAAGCTCAAATAACCTCTTCCTTTTATAAGTTCCCTTGATCACTGTGTTTTATACAGCAACAGAAAAGTAACTAATACAACTTCCTAGAGAGCAATAAAATATGCAATGAAGTCCTGAGTATATCTTTCTTTTGTATTGCTTTTTAAATTTTTTTATTTTTAGATTTTTATTGTATGAGAGTTTTGTCTGCACATATGGAAGTGTTGTGCAATGAATGTCCATGGAGGCCAGAAGAGGGCATTGGATCCCCTGGAACTGTAGTCACCAGTCGTTGTTAGCCACCATGTGGGTGCTGGGACCTGAACCCAAGTCTTCTCAAGAACAATCAGTGCTCTTAACTGCTGAGCCATCTCTCCAGTCCTTATTATTATAAGTGTATGAAATGTGTGTGGGCACACATTCAATACTGCATGTGTTGAGGTCAGAGGATAACTTTGTGGAGGCTCCTGTCACCCTTTATATGGGTGTCAGGGATCCAACTCAGGTTGCCAAGCTTGCACAGCAAGCACCTTTACCAGCTAAGCCACCTTGCCTGCACACCTTTTATTTTTAAAAATGCATTGACAATTGAGATGGCTCAGTGGGAAAGGTACCTGCCACCAAACCTGATGACCTGAGTTTTGAGCTTCACAACCCATATTGTGGAACAGCCAGATGCTTTGCCAAAACATCCCAGTTGCTTTTTAAGTCCTTATTTCCCTCTGGAACTACTTTGCTCTCAGCACTTTCTTTCAGGCTCCTACTAGAATGGCGTATTAGTCACTTTTCTGTTGCTGTTTGATAGAAACACTGATAACCAGGGTGCAAGGACAGCAGAGACACATTCTGGCAAGAGAAGTGGGTTGTCCAGTTTACTGCAGCTATGGCATTTTATCAGGCCTGAGACAGGGACATGACTATTAACAGTGGGGCTAGGGCAAGACATTTGTCTAGAGATCTTCTGGTTTCTATAACAGAGGACCAGGTTTGGTTCCCAGCACCCACACAGTGGCTCACAACTATTGTCACTCTAGTACCAGTGGATCCAATGCCCTCTTCTGGTTACTGAGGGCATTACACAAACATGGTACATTTATATACAGGCAGACAAAACACTCATAAAAAGAAAAAAAAAATTTTAATTGTTTTGAATTATGTTTGTGTGTACATATGCGCACGTGAGTACAGGTACCTGCAGTAGAAAGAGACATCAGAGCCCCCTGGAGCTGGAGTGGTTGTGAGCCACCAGACATGGGCTCTGAGAATGGAACTCAGGTCCTCTGCAATGTGTATCAACTGCTGAGCCATCTTATTAATGGTGGCACACACTTTTAATTCCAGCACTCAGGAGAGAGAGGCAGGCAGATCTTTGTGATACTGAGGCCACCCTGGTCTACAGAGCAAGTTCCAGGTTAGCTGTGGCTACAAGGGAGACCTTGTCTCAAAAACAAACAAAAAAACCCCACAAGGTTTCTAATAGAGACAGGATTAGACTACTTTCAAGAGAACTAAGGCTGGGATTAGGGGATGAACTGGCTATGAACACAGAGCAGCCAAGGGAAGTTTTTAGGGTAGGGGATAGAAACATCCCATATCCCAACTGATAGGGGTAAGACTGAGTACATGTGTCAAATGTGTCATTTTATTTATTGTGCTGGGGATTAAAGCCATAGCCTCATAAATGCTAGGGAAGTATTGTATTCCTGAGCTTACACCTCCCCAGCCCAAACTGTACTTTTGTTTTTTCAGACAAGGTCTCCCTGTAGCCCCAGCTGATCTGAAACTGTGTAGACCAGGCTGTCCTCACAGACAAAGCTCACAGAGATCTCAAAGACCTGCTTGCCTCTGCTTCCTGATTGCTGGGATTAAAGGTGTGTGCCACCACACCCTGCTCAAACTATACTTTTGAATTCGTTTCTTCAGACAGGATCTTGCTATGTAGCCCTGGTTGGCTTTGAACTCTCAATCCTCTTGCCCGAGTTTGAGTGCTGGTATTACAGGCAGGATCCAAAGTGGAGACTTCTGGTATTTTTGTTTTTGAGTCGGGGTCCTACTCCATAGTCCAGGCTGGTCTGGAACTCATTACCTATCCCAGCCTGGCGTCAAACTCATGGTATGAGCTACCACATCGGGTTTCTTTTTTTTTTTTGGTCTTTTTGAGACAGGGTCTCCCTATAGCCCCAGCTGGCCTGGAACTCACTGTGTAGATGAGGCTGGCCTTGAACTCATATAGATTCACCAGCCTCTGCTTCCCCAGTGCCGGGTCCAAAGTGTATTCTTAAATGAAGAGACCCTTATTGTATATACCTTAATAAGTCTTCCTTTAGGGTTGGGATGTAGTTCGATGGTCGTTGTGTGTAGAGTGCTGGCCTGGCATGCATAAAGCACCAGGTTTGACCCCTGGCATTGCTAAAAACAGAATTTAGAAAAAAATTTATTATTTTTATGTGTATGAGTGTATTGCCTGCATGTATGTGAGCATGCCCGTGTTGTGCAGTGCTGTGGAGGTCAGAAGAGAGCTTGGAATTCCCCTGGAATTGGAGTTAAGGACGGTTCGTAGCTGCCATGTGGGTGCTGGGAATTGAACCCAGGTCCTCTACAAGAGCAGTTAGTGCTCTTAAGCACTAAGCCATCTCTCCAGCCCCCAAAACAGAATTTTTAAAAAGGCAAAAAACTGGGTGCTGGAGAGATGGTTCAGTGGTTAAGAACACTGGTTATTCTTGCAGAAGACCTGGGTTCATATTCCAGCACCCACATGGCAGCTAACAACTGTCCGTAACTCCAGTCCCAGGGGAAATGTCAGCCTCTTCTGTCCTCCACAGGCATTACATGACACGGGTGCACTTACCTACACACAGGCAATACATGCATACACATAAAATAAAAATAATAAAATTAAAAGAAAAAAAAAGGCAAAAAACCAAGTCTATATTTAAGACAAGTATATAAATTTTCAACTCAAAGTCCCCTAAGTATAAAGAAAAACAAAACAACAAAACAAAAGTAAAAGCCTAATACCTTCCCCAGAAACCAACTATGCTAAAATCAACAGAAAGGCTAGCTGAGAAAAGAAAAAAATGGGAGCCACTTGTCCCCCATACCTCCTGTGTCCCAATCAGAAGATAAGACAGAGTGGACATATTGGGAAAATCTTTTTTATTACCGTCTCTTGTGACAAAATAGCATTTTATACAAATAAAGTCACCCAGTTTATTTTGGACACAAAAACAATACAACATGGAATAAGGATCTTGAGTGACGTGGGAAGGAAGAAGGGCAGATCAGATCATTCGTGTTTCTTATATTCTGTGAAAAATAGATTTACAGGAAAAATAGACTTTTACAACTTCAGTGATCTCACATGATCCTTTGTAAAACAAGATCCATCTCCACCAGATCCCTCTGTGGTTAAGATGTTCTACAAGGAATTTAACATGATATTCAACGATTAGGTAGCGGCAGCACCTCCCACAGCAGGGTCCCCTAGGCACAGGCAAGGAGTCTGAGCTGTAGTCTTCGGGACTGTGCCCATTCCTAAACCTCACTGTTGTCACGGTGACACTGACTACCAGAAAAAAGTGACTCTACAGAGAAAAAACAACAGTACTCCAGGAGCCTCACAGGAGTAATAGGGCACACCAAGGTAGGGCTCACCCCGTCTGCACATTAGACAGATTATTAAATCCAATCCAGAAATGGGTTCCACTTCAACTGAAAAAAAGACAATTGCCAGATCACTGCCATTTCCAGAAACCACAGTCTATGGTCATCCTGATGCCTGTACATTACTGTCCCCAATTATAGGAAATCAGAAACCAAATCCTGAAGAACCTCAGAAATTTCATGGCCCTAAGGGAAGCTTTCTCTGCAAGGCAGCTCTGAGCCAGCAAGGCAACAGCCAGCCTCAGCCCCAAATACTGCTAGTCAATATTTCCTGTGTTTATGGTTTAGAACAAAATCAAACCAGGATCAACTTTGGAGAAGCTGGAAAGTCAGCTCGGCCCAAAGGCTATATAGGAAAGGAGAGGACTTCTCTCCGAGGCTGAGGACAAGGAAGGAGGTGGCCCTCCCTCATACCAGGAAGGGATCTGCCCAGCTGCTAGAATGTACTCCCTCTAGGAGCTGCCAGCTGCTCAGATTCCTGCTCTTGACAGAGGGCATGGCCTTCCCACACTGGAAGCTTGATTTTTCCCTCCTACCGTATGACCCACAAGAAAACTTGTCAACAACAGATATTTCCTTTAAGGCATGACTCCTGACTCAAACTTCTGCTTGGTTCAGTTCCTTTCAAAGTATGACTTCCAGTTCACTCAATTCAGGTACAAAGCTTGAAATTTCGTACTCATCCCAACAGCAATAAGCTTTCCTAAACAGCAAGACACAGAACACTGAACCTGTAGCAGCAGAGGAAGAGTGCTCCCATCCTGTCGGACACGACATTACCTAGCCTGAGAATGGTCTTCAATGAGAATACAGCCAGCTAACAGGGAAGAGGAGGCAGCACTACCCTAGTGAGAGTGTCCACCTCCTCCATCTTCCCGGGCCCACAAGAGTATAGGAGCAGTCCACCCTGGGCCCTGCTGAGCAGAGACTGGCAGCTCCAGAAAGCATACCCTACTAGTATTTAAATACCGGAAAGCAAACACTCTCCTAGCCAGGCTGCTCTAATAGAAAGAAACATTCTAAAGCTTGTCAAGAGCATGCAAACACCATCAGAGGAGCCACAGTGAGAAACAGGGTAAAGAGACAGTGCTGATATCTGTCCCCAGCAGCATATGGGACAGAGCCACACTAAGGCACCTGGATTTGGAGTGGACTCCAGTTCTGGGATTCACCAAAATGGTCATTAGGCACTCGTGTCACAGGGCTCCTGGGCTCTTCCCTTTCAGAGGGTAAATCCAGTGCCAGCATGAAGGGTAATCTAGGGCTTTCCCAATCAGAAAGCTGCCATCATATGGCATCACCAGTTCTCTGGTCAGACACAGCACATGGGGCTGAGGTTCAAGGCCACTGATGCTCTAGCAGACCGGTAGGGAGCCATGCTGGCCAAAGTCTGGCCCTTCTTCCCACGGTGCTATGCAACCTTCCTCCTAAGCACTTTGGAACCCAGCTCTTGTGGGTAATGTGATGCCTCACAGACACTTGGCACACATCTGGCTCTTACTACTAACACCCAACAATGCTAAATGGACCCCAGCCACAGGAGAGAGTTGCGGAGCCTGGGCAGAGCATGAGCACCTGAAGTCATCCACACAGACAACCTAGGGAGCCGAGGAGGTGGGGGTCAATCTGAGGACACACGCAACCCACAGAAGTACAGGAAGCTGTTTGGGAACACAGTGCTCTAACAGGCAACCTCAGCCTATGCCACCCTTTCCAAACACCCAAAACAGTTACAACAGCAGCTTGAAGGAAGATTGGAATATGCATTACTTAGGTTACTGAGGACCATCTGCCATATGGTTCTAGAAACTACTTCAGTAGAAAGGCAGATAGGAAAACCCTCCTAAGAAACCTAGAGTTTCCAAGGTAAATCCCCAACCAAAGTCAATCTTCTAGGCTCAGCTGTATACAGTCAAATTTCTCTTTAAAGCAGCTGCTGAGTTGTAACTACACCTCTCTCACCATGAGCTAGATTAGCCCTGGGAGCCAATCAATATTCTCAAATGTCTAACCAGATCATAGGTGATGGAACATCACAGAAATTTTATAAAAACTCCCCAAAAGAAGTCTGAAAATAAACCCAAAATACAAAAGACCTGCATTAAGCTCAAAAGACACTATGTCCCATGAGAAAAACTGACAAGGTCTGCTCCGAGACGCTCAGAAGTCAAGAGCCAAGAGAAAGAGAGCTCTGAGACGCTCAAAAGTCAAGAGCCAGGAGAAAGAGAGCAAGCTCATGTGTCCCCCAGAATGAGAACAGGAAGGCAGCATCAGGCAGACACATGGTCTATCCCCAGGACTGGCTGGCTGTGGGCAGCCTCCACACAAACAATTTCTCAATGTGGCAGCACCTCCCAGCCTTGGTGCTTGGCTCCCGGCTCCACCCTCCCTTCACTCCCTTTTTAAGTTTCTTCTAGTTAGCTGAAGACTGCACACAGGCTGAGGGCAGACTGTGCCAATGGCAACCCTGGAATGAGGGGGGTGAGCAGAGGGCTAAGTTCCAGTCACCCGCAGCACTCAGGAGCCCAGAAAAGGGATGGGAACCTGCAGGCTGGCCAGCCCAACTCTTCTCACTGAACTAGCTGTGCCCGGAGAGCCAGGCTTGTCAGGACAACCAGTGCACAGCTAACCTACACAGAAATAAACTTTTTTATCTGGATTCCAGGAGCCTTATCCTAATCTTTTGCTTCACTAAAATACCTCTGCGAACTAAGGGGCAGGGAAAAGGGAAGAAAGATACTGGGGAAAAGAAACAGTGCTAGTTAGCATCTCCTTAGAGCACATTCTACCCCAGCCATGGCTTCCTGGACCAGGTTCCAGATGGGTGTCAACAAACAGCAGCTGCAATTCCTTCTCTGTGTCTCGTGGCGGCAGCAAAGCACCTCCCTTTCCAGCCTGCAGCAGCTACTGGCCTCCATTATAGGCATAATCAGCCTTGTTGTGCATTATCAGCTTGTTGTCCACAAAATAGAAGCTGTCTGAGCGGGTCTCATAAGGGTTTTCAATCATCAGACGAACTGCAAGTTGGAAGAAGGAAAAGAAACAGAGCACATATGAATCTGTCCCACAATTAGATACAAAAAACTTGGTATTCCCTCCAAAATTCATAAGCCAGCACTTCTAAAAATCTGACTCTGCTGCATCAGAATAAAGCAGTTGAAACAGAAAAAGTCAGACCTTAGGAGTTAGAGGGACTAAAGAGGACCCTAAACTGAACACCATGTCCACTTCCACACCAATATACAACTCCTTGGTCACCCCTAGCCTGCATTCTTCCTGTCAGTGTCCTGGGAAATGTACTTTCCCTCACAGTCCATGACCACTTATTTCCTAGGTGCTCTTGGTTGACCCAACAAAGCCCTGACTTCTGTCTGGATCATTGCCCATATCTAGATATTCCAGTACAAATCCAGAAAGCTGTGCCTCTCTATGCCTACTTCTTATGGGCACCCCTGAAGCCAAAGGAATCCTAGGTATGAGTTCAAGGGAATAACAGGGAAGGAGCCTTCTCCAGAAAGGACTCTGGGATCCACCTGCAAGAGAACTAGGCAGAGGCCTGTTTGCCTAGTGATCTAAACTTAAGCCTCTGTTTGTTCACATCCCAGCCCTAACCTCTTTCACTACACTGAGAATAAAAAAATTTACAATTAGTACCTCTGATCAGTTCTAATTTAACGATCACATGCCATCTTGAGTCCCCTGGAGCAAAGGTTACTGTGTATTACAGTTCTCCAAAGGTGACACCGATTTTAAGTTTTTTTGAACTCATCCAGACCAAACCTGTTTGGTTTACATTCAGAGTGACCTCCAAACCCTTACAGCTAATGTGACTTCATATATAAAATTTTTCTTGCAAGTATCTGCATATTCCAGACCAACTTGTGGGGAGAAGTGCAAGTCAAAATCAGATGCCGTCACAGTGCCCTGCCCGACACACCTCGGCAGTCCCCTGTCCTACCTGGAAACAGTACTGCTACATAAGTAGAGGACCTGCTTTTCAGAGTATGGACTCTTTGAGGACTTTGTGATTCTGAGAAAACTGGTCAGTGGATTTGGAGCCGTTATCAAAATACGTATCTAAGCCTCACTATTCACAGGTTCCACTCAGTTGCACAAATATTAGGAAGCAATCTTCCTGAATTACCAGCAGAGGATGGTAGTTAGATCCAAGTCCAACAAACTGGTAAAGCCTATTCTCTCTAAGTCCCTATCTCCCTCTGCCTGGACTCCATAGCAGCCTTCTCCCTCTGGTGCCTTCCCAGTTCTGCCTTCATGTAACTGCAGGACTCTTCCTAAGACTGTTTCCATCCTCTCCTTCCTTCTGTTCCAAAACCTAAGTAGTTCTGGTGCTCCTGCTGGGTCTATTAGAATAGTTTATCTCATCAGCCCTCCATCTTGCAGAGAAACAGAGCCCTCAGTCCTTCCAGTCTCTTTAGTCTGAAATTTCACATCTGGCTCTGAACAGGCAAGAGCCAGTGACAAAGACACGAAGACACGGTGAAGGCCAGAAGTAACAGTGAGGGGAGGGTGCCTTAATCTAATCAGAGTCCCAGGAATGGTCCCAGGCCTGCTCTATCTCCCTCAGACACACCCTTTCCCACAGTACTCTGGACATCCTATGCTACTACATCCTTCCTGAGTCCCATTCAAGCAGAGTCAGGGTTGGAAAAAGACAGGAACAGTAGGGCTGCAGAGCCTAAGGTGGGATGACCCAGTGTACACCAAGTCACCACTGTCTGTTCCTTGTAACCCTCAGAATCTAGTTGTTAAGGTTCAGATAGCCCTGCCCCCTCACCAGCAGGATCCCAAGGACTTCTCATGCTCCTGAGAAAAGGGAACCTAGCTGATAAGCACCCTGGTCTTTGAAGTCAAGAGAAGCAGACTTTTCTCCACTGTTTGGCCAACACAGCAGGCTTGCCCTTTGATCTCTCAAGAGGACAGGTTTTAACAGTCCTGCTCTCCCACTCCCCCCCCCCACCAACTTTAAAAAACACACATCTTCCCACCTTCTGCAGGAGGCAGAAGCCTCCCTTTTAAAAGACCCCAGCTCAAGACCCAGGCAGACATTTTCCCTGCCCGGAAGGGAATCTGCCCCACGTGTTCCTTTGCTAATAAACCCTATTTTGATGGAGTTTTCATTTGCTCGTTCTCTGCCAATTTTTTACCTATCACTAGTGTTATAAAAAAGCGTCAGGAAATACATACTGACATCCTCAGAGAGTTGTGGAAACTCATAGATATGTTCACAAGTGTTCCTACTGCTGGGGATGCAGAAGCCAAAATCAAAGTCAAAGTTTTTCAGCAAACGTTCCCGGAAATAGTGTCGTTCGATCATTCGGAAGTTTGACACAGGTCTGTCTCCCACTGTGAACTCCACCCTGTAAGATAAATCTGTGTAAGCCTCTTTGCCTCTTCCTTCCTCTAAAGGCAACTTCAACCCAGGGGAACACATTCTTCCCTGTGAACAAGTGAAAATAACGGTACTCACGTGGCGCCCACTGTCCGCAGGCGAAGAAATGCTGGTGTGAACTGATAGCGAACAAAACGTCCTACACTGACATCCACATCCACACTCTCCTCCTCGGCATCCTCGTCCTGGTCTGAAATTGCACACAGAGTCTTATCTTGACTTCACCGTCTGAGCACCACCAGCACACACAGCACAAGAGCCCACTGACATACACCAACAGTGAACCTTCCTGTGCCAGCTCTGTGCCAATGCTTAAGAGACTCACAGCAGCCTTGCAGTGAGGTGGTCTGTCTTGATTTCACAGATAAGAAAGCACCCATTCAAAAAGGTTTAATCACATATCCAAAGTTCCCAAGTACTTAATAAAGGCAGCAGGGATTTGAACACAGGCCCATCTGACTGAAAGCCTGTTCTTTTGGGTTTTTTTTTTTTTTTTCCTTTGGTCTTTTTGAGACAGGGTCTCCCTGTAGTCCCAGTTGGCCTGGAACTCACTATGTAGACCAGGCTTGCCCTATTCTTAAACACTATGCTATCTGGCTTTTGTATAATTTGGGGGTCAGGGTATATCGTAATGGTGAAGCATGAAACACAGCTAGGTACTAAGCCTCTGATGCAGTCTAATTACACAGATTAGGTCTGTCTGCTGTTGATCAAGTTAAAGTGCCAAATACTAACCAGAAGAGTAAGATTACAAAAGTTAAACAGTTCCAAAAGTTCCTTTTGAAAACACAAGCATTTCTGAGAGGCACACTGCTAGAAATAATTGCTATTTCAGTTAAAGACACTGACCAATAACCTCAAAGAACTAATATCTATTTCAGGCCATTCAAGTCCAATCCTCTGACCACCTGGGAAAGAATGAAACAGATGGGCAATGAGCCACCAACACATGGGACCTCCACAAGGTCAGTCTTGGCCTCTGGTCTTGCCAGCTCCTTAAAGATTTGTAACCATCAGTCAGGTGTGATGGAGCATGCCTGTAGTCCCAGCGCTTGGGAGGCAGCGGCAGGTGGATCTCTGTGAGTTCAAGGCCATCCTGGTCTACACAGAGTCCCAGACCAGCTGGGACTACAAGGAGACCCTGTCTCAAAAGATAAAAAAAAAAAAAAGATTTGTAGCCATCATAATGTGAACAAGGAAGGGCAATCAATCTCCAGATCTAAGCAAATGGGTGCCTTGAGTATAAAACATCTCTGCTAGTGACATCTCAAGAGCACGGGGCAACTGAATTGATTGGGGTTCATATCCAAAGCTAGAAGCTCTGGCTCCACTGATACAATTCAAACTCATCAAAACAAGTGTTGCAGGAAGGAACAGCTTTCATATGAGGATATCTGAAAGGAATCAAGATCCTTAAAGGTAGAGACGGGGGAGGATGGAAATTCAGACACAACAGTATAGTAGAAAGAAACTGCAGGACAATCATTGATCCTATAGAGGGTGTTTGTGCTCTAACAAACCACTAGCTCCAGGAGACACTACATCTCCAGTTCTGTGTTCTAAAGACTTCTGTGGTCTCCTGGCCCAAAATGAATCACCCGGGACGTGCGTCATAGCACAGGAACTGGCTCCTGAGAGCTAATTTAAGAAGTTCAAGCAGATGTGTTCCACAGGTTTGTGCTTTCAAAAAATGGTGAAGAGTAAAATCCAAAGTAGGAGTAGTAGGTGTCATGACTGACTCTGAAGGTGATAAGAAACTCCTCAAACAGTCAAAGCAGCAGGCCAAGGAAAGGGTAAGAAATATAAAGCTGGGGCTGGAGAGATGGCTTAGCAGTTAAGAACACTGGCTGTTCTTGCAGAAGACCCGGGTTTGAATCCCAGCGCCCACATGGCAGCTAACAACTGTCCGTAACTCCAGTTTCAGGGGATCCAACAGCCTCTTCTGTCCTCCGTGGCCACTGCCCGATACAGGTGCACTTACCTACATGCAGGCAATACACACACACACATAAAAATAATATTTTTAAAAAAAAGAAATATAAAGCCTTCAAGCAGGGATTTTTTATAACCAGAGGAAATAATGAGTTAATACAGAGAAGGCTGCAAGGAAGGCCTCTCTGGTCACAGAAAAGTAGGAAGAAATCTGGTGAGGGGCTGGGATGTAGTTTAGTAGCAGAGCTTTTGACCCTGAGTTGTGTCCTCAACACCAGGAAGGACAAAAGGAGGGAAGAAAGGAAGGAAAGAAATATGGCCAAAATGAGCTGGGTGTGTCCTTAAACCAAGCACGGCTCTGGTCTGCAATTCCAGTACTCAGGAGACTAAGGTAGGAGTTCAAGAACAGCCTGAAGCTACACAGTATTCTCCAGGCCAGCAGAAAAAGACCAAAAAAAACCCCAAACAAACAAAAACAAAAATGAACAACCAAAAAAATCACCACCAGGTTGTAAAGATGGCTCAGTGGGAAAAAGCTTGCTGCACAAGCCTGATGACCTGAGCTGGATCCCTGGAACAGATAGTGGAAGGGAGAACCAATTTCCAAAACTGATGCTGTGACATGTGTGTGCCCATGCTCATATAAACACACATCTATCTCTCTCTCTCTCTCTCTCTCTCTCTCTCTCTCTCTCACACACACACACACACACACACACACAAATAATCAATGCAATAAAAGTTTTAAAACAATATCCCCACCTATAATCCTAGCACTTGAGGAGAGGTAAAGAGTCAGTGAAGGTCATCTTCATTTATACAGTTGAAGCTAGCTTAACTACTATGCTTCAATTTTTTTTTAAAAGATAGGGGCTGAACAGATGGCCCAGTGGTTGAGAGACTTGCTGCTCTTGCAGTGGACCCAGCACCCACATAGTGGCTAACAACGTTTGTAACTCCAGTTCCAGGGAATCCAATGCCCTCTTCTGGCCTCAGCGGGCATTGCATGACACAGACGCACTTAAACAAGCAGGTAATGCATGCATATACATAAAACATTTTTTTAAAAATCCATAGATTCATCATTAGTTAAAAGTACTGACTGCCATTGCAAAGGACCCAAGTTTAGTTCCCAGAACCATGTTGGGCAGCTCACAACCACCTGTAATTCTAGCTCCAGGGGGACCCAACTGAAGGCAGCTGTACAGGACTTACTAGGAAATCTAAAGCACTACTTAAAGGCAAGCAAGAGACTGGAGTAAAATTGCCTCTCAGTCTGGAAATCACAGTACCACCCTTCCAAAGGACTCAAGTTTGGAGTTTTCCTCATTCTAGCTTAACTTCAAGGCTTGCTTTTCTGACTGAAGGCAGTATGAATTAATGAACAAAGGATCTTAAGGAACTATCACTTAGAAATTCCAGGTCTCAGCTCCTTCTTCGTAAAAAGAGGATGACAATTCAGTGACATGATTACATAAGGTAATAAGCAGAAGAACTGGACAGTGCAACCATCCAATAAACATGAGCTTTCTATGCTGTGGTTGGTGACACATGCCTACAATCCCAGCACTTGGGAGGAAGAGTACATGTAAGGAGTTGAAGAGCAGACTTAGATACTTGGCAAGTTCTAGGCCAGTCTGGGCTACATAAGAATCTGTCTGAAAAAACAGAACAGCCAGGTATGATGGTGCATGCCTTTAATCAAGTACCAGGAAGCAGAGGTCAGATGGATATCTGTGGGCGCAAGGCTAGCCTGATCTATATAGTGACCTCTAGGTCAGTCAGGGCTACACAATGAGACTGTCTCAAACAACAAAACAGGGCTCAGTGTAAAGGTAGTTGTCGTGTAAGCCTGGTGACCTGAGTTTAATCCTTAGAACCCACATAAAGGTGGAAATAGAGAACTGACTCCACAAAGCTGTTCTCTGATCTCCATACATGTACCATGGCAAGCATACCCACAGACATATACACACAATAAATACAATTAAAAAAATTTAGGCAGGCATGGTGGCGCACACCTGTAGTCCCAGCACTTGGGAGGCAGAGGCAGGTGGATCTTTGTGAGTTCAAGTCCAGCCCGGTCTACATAGTGAGTCCCAGGACAGCTTGGGCTACAGGAAGACCCTGTCTCAAAAAGACCAAAAAAGAAAAAAAAAAAACCTAAGCTCCCAAATATCAGCCTTTTAATGCAGTTTCAAAACAGCATAAGGGCAGGCCAGGCCACAGACTGTGGAAGTGGGGCACGCTACCATCCACAGAACAGGTGCAACAGCACACAAATACTGAGCTTTTCAAAGATCTTTTGCTTATGCTGTCAAGTGATCCCCACAGTATTGAGACCTACCTGAAATGGAAGGTTTAGCAATCTCAAAAAGCACTGTCCCTGTCTCCAGATCTCGAATTTTGAAGCGAGTAAAATCAATACTGTAGACATTGTCTTCAGGTTTACATAAATAATCTGAAAATGAAAAAGACCAGTGCTGTTAAATAATCCAAAATAAAGTTATTTCATTCTCAAGTTGTAAAGCAAACTAGTTTTTCTCCTATGGAATTCATTTAACACATTCCCACAAACATTTATCCTCTTGTAGTATCATAAGCAAAAGTCATATTGGCAGAATTAGGGAATTCAAGAAAGAAATGGGGTGGGGGGAATGAAATGACTCAGCAAGTTAAGGTGCTGCCATCTGGAACCCATGTAAAGGTGGAAGGAGAGAACAGAACGGACTCCACAAAGTTGTTCTCTGACCTCCACACATGCACAGTGGCACACATGCATAATAAAGAAAAAAGGGCAGAACATTAGTATAGATGAAAGAGCATCAGAAACCCTTTCTTTGGAAACAAGTTAGATGAAATTTATTTTAAAGAAATTCATGGTAAAATATGTACTGTAGCCATGTCTGGTAGTACACACCTGTAATCTTAGCACTCAGGAAGCTGAGGCAGGAAGACTAAAAGGCCACCTTGGGCTCTAAAATCAAACCCTGTTTTATGTAGCTCAATTGGTCCAGTGCTTGCCTACCATGCATGAAGCCTTGGGTTCAATCCTTAGCGTTACATAAAACCAGGCATGGTAGTGCATACCTGTAATCCAACAGTCTGGAAATGAAGGAAGGGGGATCAGGAATTCAAGGTTATCCTCAGTTACATAGTGAATTTGGCCAGTGTGGGCTACATGAGACCTTGATTTTAAATACAAAGTCGGGCATGGTGTACACACCTGTAATCCCAAGACTCAGGAGGTTGAGAGGCAGGATGCAGGTAGTCCAGGTCTGAGTTGCCAAAATTGGCAAGTAAAAATAAAAAATACATAAAGGAATCAGGTGTGATAGCACACACCTAGCACTTACAAAGTTGAGGCAGAAGAATCAGAAATTCAAGACCAGCCTTGACTATATAGCTCAAAGCCAATCCAGGTTACATTGTTTCTCTCTCTCTCTCTCTCTCTCTCTCTCTCTCTCTCTCTCTCTCTCTCTCTCTCCCTCCTCTCTCTTTAAAAAAAAAAAAAAGGCAAATGAGATGGTTTAGCACTTAGCAGGTAAAGGAGCTTGCCACCAAGCCTGACAACTTGATTTTGATCTCTGGAACCCACCCCCACAAACTGTCCTTTGACCTCTACACGTGCACTATGGCTCTCATGCACAGACACACACATGCACAAAATAAATAAATGAATGTTTAAAAAAAAAAAAAAAAGTTCCCAGGCTCAGGGAACATCAAGGAAAAGGAGGTAGAAAGAATGTTAAGAGCTGGAGGATGGGGAGGAATGGTGGGAAAAATGCTGGCTTCTGGACATGCCTCACTGCAGTTTGGGTAGCAAACAATCTGCATAAGATCAAGCCAACAAGATAAGTCAACTTTCCATCAGGCAGCACTAACTGGATTCAGTGAGTTACCAAAAAAAACCCAATAACCATGAAGGTGGAAAGGGGGAGGGTATCCAGGAGGAGTAGAAGGAGGTAGTTGGGATGGATATGGTCAAGATACATTGTATACATGTATGAAATTGTCAAAGAATAAATAAATAAAAGATTTTTTTTTGTCTTTTTGAGACAGAGTCTCCTGTAGCCCCAGCGGCCTTGAACTCACTATGTAGACCAGACTGGCCTTGAACTCAAAGAGATCCGCCTGCTTCTGCATCCTGAGTGTTAGGATAATAAAAGATATTTTTAAAAAATTATTGCCAGGTGTTGTGGCATACACCTTTAGTCCCCAGCACTCAGGAGGCAGACACAGGTGGATCTCTGAGAGTTCAAGACCAGCCTGGTCTAGAGTGAGTTCCAGGCCAGCTGGGGCTACAGGAAGACCCTGTCTCAAAAAGACCAAAAAAAAAAAAAAAAGAAAAGAAAAAGAAAAAAGGAAAATTATTTAATGAGGCCAATAATCCCAGCACTTGGGAGGCAGAGGCAGGCAGATCGCTGTAAGTTTCAGATCAGCCAGGCTAAGACCCTATATCAAAAAAAAAAATTGTTTGCTTAATGTACACTAACAGGTCATACATACGGTGCTGTCTGCCACCTTTATCAGAAAACAGATGAACAAACTTTTCTGAAAAAGGTCAGGTTATAAATAATTCAGGTCTGCAGCCATACATTACATGCCATAAATACTCAACTTTATCACTGGAACACAAAAGAGTCTATGGACACTAAATCAATTAGCCTGACTATATCCAATAAAACATGCATACTGGAATCTGAATTTAATATAATAACCACATGTAACAAGAGTTCAACATTTATTTTTAACCACTTCAAAGGTTAAAAACCACTCTTAATTTGTAGGCTGCATAGAACCATGCACGAATGAATAAGGTAGCAGGTGAACAGAGCCAGTGAAAACATTAGGCCAAAGTGAAGAAGAGCCTACAACAACCTGAGAAGCTAATCAGAACAGTACCTCCCAGCAAATGCAGCTCTGTAATGACTGCCAACAGCATCTTCTCAACTCATTGTGACACTATCTCACTTGGCTCACTCTTTGTGATAGCTGTTCCATGTTTTACAAGCTGTCTCCACTAAGATGGCAAACTGATCATTCTCCAACTCTGAAACTGTCTGACCTGGGGTCTGTGTCTTTAGGAGGTAGCTCAATAGATAACTTGCAGAACAGAACAAGTAAGGCTTTAAGAGGAATAACAAAAGCCAAAGGTCACTAAGCTCTGAGCTGTGGCTTTCTCTAAGGACCTGCAGAGGTGGGCTTTTGGGCAATGGTACAGCTCCCAAGCCCTCGGACGAGACCTGATGCTCCTAGAGTGAGAAGGGCTAGACATTAGAGAGGCCTATGTCACACTGTTGTCAGGAACAAACAGGATGTTGTTAGAGGTCAGGTCCAAATGCTTCTGTACCCTCAAATCCCAAAATGAAAACTGAGAACAGAAGCAGCTTTTTCACTGTTTCAAAGAAACCAAATAGTAAGAGTGTCTAAAGATGCACTCAGGCATGCAAAGGACAGAGCCAACACAGTGATAGGAAACTAGGTCATCAAAATACCTAAAATCAAGTCAAGTGTATTTTAGGAGATGGAGATTCCCTTTTGCACAGGCTGACCCAGTAGCCACTTTCTCCAAACTCTGTTTCCAAAACAGTGGCACCACCACCAACAACCTGACCACCTCAGCAGCCTGGACTAAGCAATGCAATCCAGCAGACATGGTGACATCTTGAGGGCAGTGGGATTAGAAGTCTGAAGTGCAGGGGAGGCGGGAAGAATAGGCCAAGGTTAATCAGGTAACTGCAAACTCCTGGGGGAAAATATCAGCAAAAGATATGGTCAAATCAGGGCCGGAGCTTGTGGACAGCAAAATGAGGGAGATCTGGGACAGAGTGGACAATACATTTCTTCCCATCCTTGTACGCTGAAAAGACAGAATGGTTGTTTTATGCAATAATCACATTTCTGAAACCCTGACATAACTCTTAATTCACTAGCAAAAAATGTAAAGAGCAAGATTCAAGTGCCAGTAAGTACAAACACTCAAACTTTATTACTTTTCCTGTGGCACACCATTTTAAATTTGTACAAAATGCTACAGCCATGTGTTTTGGAGAAGCACACAAAAGGGTAGCGCCTAGCTCCCAAGCCCGGAGGGGGCCAAAGCAGGGGCGGTATCGGGGAAGCGAGGTCAGTGGCCTGGGCCGAGGGAGGTAGGAGTCAGCAGGTAGGGGCTGGGGCGTGGCAGAGGGCTGTGGAAGCTGGGGTAGACCAGAAGGCTGGGCGGGAACTTCACTACGGGCTGGGCAGGGGTCGAGGAGGGAAGGCGTTACACCCTGCCCAGCTCAGCTCCACCCCGGTTCCGTCCCCTCGGGTCCCGCCGAGCCGCAGCGCGGGGCAGAAGACGTTGCCCGCGGGTCCGGGGCGGGGCAGCACGAGCCCACGGCACTGCGGCCTGGCCGGCCGAGTGGGCCCAAGCGGATTCCCGCGCCCCGGCCCGTCCCGGTCCCCCGCCCGGCGCAAAGGAAGGGTGGACCCCGCACTCACTCTCGGTCACCCGGTTGAGGCGCAGGACGTGCTCAGGACGAATGGCGTCCAGCGCCAGCAGGTCCTGCTCCGTGACCGCTGCTGCGAGGCCCTCGTCGGCCGAATGGTGGGGCGCCTGCCGCCGCACCTTGAGTCGGTTCAGGACGCCGCCGCCCGCCTTTTTCTTCTCCTCCTTGCCGGCCACCAGCACCCCCGGCCCAGCCGCCGACCCGGCGGTCGCAGTCTTCGGGTTCGACCCGTTCATCGCTCCACAGCCAAGATGGCCGCCACCTCCACAGCGCCGTAACTATGGTGAGGGCCGGCCCGGGCACCTGTGGGCGGGGCCGGGGCGGGGCCTGCGGGAGCGGCAGCCAGGCCCAGCTTGATGAGGTCAGGTGTAAACCCAGAGACTATGGGACCTTAGGAGCCCCACACTCCCGATCCAGGCCCAGTGGTCACCACTGATATACTTAATATAACATCCTTAGAAAATAAATGACCAGGCGTGGTGGCGCACCCCTTTAATCCCAGCTCTCGGGAGGCAGAGGCAGGCGGATCTCTATGAGATCCAGGTGAGCCTGGTCTATATAGCTAGTTCCAGGCCAGCTGGGGCTAAAGGGAGACCCTGTCTAAAAAATAAATAAATATAATCTCAGCAACTCGGGAGACAGAAACTGGTGGATCCCTGTGAGATCGAGGCCAGCCTGGTCTATATAGCTAGTTCCAGGCCAGTTGAGGCTACAGGGAGACCCTGTCTCAAAAAGACCAAAAGAATAAAAAATAGGTAAGTAAATAAAATATATTCTTAGAATCAAATGAATATAAAAGGTGGACGGACAAGGCACCTTGAGAAAAATGTTATTAATAGTATTCACATAAAAAATAAAACAGTGCTTGCTATGCAAAGGCCACCTTCAAGACAAGCTTTCCAATTAGATTGCCATCCCTATATCCCTGCTGTGCCAGATTTTGAGCTAGACATTGAGCTAGGTAGCTACAAGAAATAAAAAGAGGGCAGTAATCGAATCTGCCTTGTTTGCCACCGTATTCCCAGAAGTTTACCAAGTGCCCAACACATCTTAGGTGCTCAAAAATGACTGAATGGGTGAAAGTCTGAGTCATGTCACCCCGCTCTCCATGAAGGAGTTCCCACTTTGCAGGGAAGACAATGAAGTCTACAGGGCATAATATGACCTTTCCTGAGTGGTGGGTAAGTAGGGGCTAGAAGAAAACTGACTCTGCTGACTGCTGTTAAGTGGTACAGCAAAGGTATCAAAACACAGGAGTAGTTTGCTCTGACCTGGTTTGGGAAGTCAAAGGTTTCAAGATGACTGGATTTCACCTAGTGGAACAGGCTAGGGAAAAGCTGTGCTTTGTTACCCCTACCCCAAGTAAAGTGGTCAGAGAACAACTTTATGGAATCAGTTCTCCTTCCACCTTTACACAGTTTCTGGGAACCAGGTTCAGGTGTCCAGGCCTGCACATGCCTTTACCCACTGACCCACCTCTCCATTCCTCAGGATTCTTGGTGTGTGTGTGTGTGTGTGTGTGTGAGGGGGGGGGGGGGACTCATTATGCAGCCCCTGGCTAGCTTGAAACTTGCTGGTCTCGCCTTAAACTACAGAGATCCTCCTACCTCTGCCTTTCAAGTGCTAAGGTAAAAGGCTACGTATGCCACCACGACCAGCTTCCTTAAGATTTTTTTTTTTTTATGTGTGTATTGCCTCCATGTAGGTAAGTGCGCCTGTGCCGTGCAATGCCTGTGGAGGACAGAAGAGGCTGTTGGATCCCCTGGAATTGGAGTTACGGACAGTTGTTAGCTGCCATGTGGGTGCTGGGATTCGAACCTAGGTCTTCTGCAAGAACAGTCAGTGTTCTTAACTGCTAAGCCATCTCTCCGACCCAGGATTTTTTTTTTTAACTAATAATTTTTATTTTAAGTGCAAGAGTGTTTTGCCTGCATGTATCTAAGTGCACCATGTGCATGAAGTACCTGCAGAGTTCAGAAGAGGGCACTGGATCCCCTGGAACTGGAGTGAGGTCATCATACAGGTGCTGGGAACCAAACCCAGGTCCTCTTCTAGAGCAATCAGTGTTCTCAACCACTGAGCCATCTTTCTAGCCCCCCTCAGGATTCTTAATATACTCTTCTTTGTTGATTGATGGAAAGTATCTGCTGGATCCAACGTCATCTTGCAGCCAAATTTCAGCCAGTATGAAATCCCGGTCTTCTGCCAATGGTCAGTCACAAGACATAACTTGCACCAGGTCTTATTGGAAACATCTCCCCTGACACAAAGGGTTTGGGAGAGACTGTTAGGCCTTACATTGTTTCTCAACAAAGGCCACACCTGATCCCACCCCAGCTGCCCAGTTGGGTGGAAAAGTATTTTGCCAAGTTCCTGTCTAGATGCCACCTTGCCTTGAGAGATTAGCATCCAGTGGTGCTTACCAAACTGTTCAGGGAGATTTTAATGTTTAAAGAGAATTAAAAGTCTTTCCTTTTGCAACAACTCCTCTTTAAAGCACTCAATAGTGAATAGTTACTGAACATTTTCCAGAACTCTAATATGCTATTTGATTTTTATTGCCAAGAAGGTGGTTTAGCATGCAGTCATTTCTCAGAAACATACTCATCAAACATTTCTTCTAAGAGCACCAGGACTAGAATTATCTAGACCCCAGATATTTTCTAAGGATCATGACAAATGTGTCAACTCCATCTTCAACTCTACATCCATGAATTTAGCTATATGTATGCACAGAGGTGCTTATTGCAGGACCATTTATGACACTGACAGTCATATAACTGTTTAAAGGAATGCGCTTGATCTACATGTACTAGTATCAAATATCTCAAAGATTTATTAAGTGTGAGAAAAGCAAGGCACATAATCCTACTTCTTTAAAATAAAAATATATGGGGGGATGGAGAGATGACTCAGCAGTTAAAAGCTCTTGCAGAGGACCTGGGTTCGATTCCCAGCACCCACATGGCAGCTAACAATCATCTGTTAACTCCAGTTCCCGGAGATTCAACACCCTCTTCTGACCTCTTCAGGCATGGCATGACACAGGTGTACTTACATACATGCAGGCAATACACATAAAATAAAAATAAATAAAATAAAAATATATAGATATGAGGATGTGCCCTTGCAATTGTAAAGGGAGAGGTCTAGAGAAGCTAAAAGCACTTGCTACATAGTCATAAGGACCAGAGTTTGGATCTCAGTACCCATGTAACAAGCCGGCATCCAAGCCCATCCTAGCTCTGAGTGCGGAGAAACAGAAGAATCTCTAGGGCTTCCTGGCTTTCAGCCCAGCCAAGAAAACTTGAGCCTCAGGCTCAGGGAGAGACCCTGCCTCTGAGGAATAGGTAGAGAGTGACAGAGAAAACACTCTATACCTTCTTTTGGCTTCTGTGCCTATACACACACACACACACACACACACACACACAGGAACACATACATTCACCCAGACACAGATAGATTTATAAATCTTGTATTTTTTTTTTTTGAGACAGGGTCTCCCTGTAGCCCCAGATGGCCTCACTATATAGACCAGCTGACCTTAAATTTACAGAGATCCACCTGCCTCTGCCTCCCAAATGCTGGGACTAAAGGCAGGCACCACCACACCCAGCCACATTAATAAATCTTTTAAAAATGTTAACCTTAGACCAGCAGGATGGCTCAGTGGGTAAAGGTACTTGTAGCCAAACCCAAATGTCCTGTGTTTGATTCCCAGGACTCACATGGTAGAGGACCAACTCCCACAAGTTATCCTTTGACCTCCATTCGTGCACTATAGCATGCACACTCACTGAATAAATAAATTTAAAAATGTTAACCTTGATTACTTTTTGCAAAAATTGTATTAGAAGGAGCTATAGGGGATATTCACTCTTTACACTATTTAGAGCTATTTCTGCCATAAACATGGTCATCGGTTTGTAGACTCTCTCTCTCTCTCTCTCTCTGTGTGTGTATGTGTGTGTGCATGTGTGTTTTCTAGTTAGTTTTTATTGTCAGCTTGACAGAACCGAGTCACCTGGGAAAAGGGAGTCTAAACTGAGGGATTTCCCAGATATGACTGGCCTGTGGCCATGTCTATGGAAAATTGTCTTAATTATCTTGATTGATGTGGACGTGCCCAGCCCACTGTGGGCAGTGCCACCCCGGGCAGGTATTCCTGGGTTGTATAAGAAAGCTGGTTGATGGGCTGGAGAGATGGCTCAGCAGTTAAGAGCATAGGCTGCTTTTGCAGAGGACCAGGTTTTGATTCCCAGCATCCACATGGCAGCTAACAACTGTCCATATCTCCAGTTCCAAGGGATCCTCCTCTCTGACCTCCGTGGGCATTACATGATATGGGTGCACTTACATACATTCAGGCAATACACTCATACATATAAAAGTAATAAAATAGTTTTTAAAATGAAAGCTGGTTGAGGGCCGGTCGTGGTGGCACATGCCTTTAATCCCAGCACTTGGGAGGCAGAGGCAGGCAGATCTTTGTGAGTTCAAGGTCAGCTGGTCTATATAGTGAGGCCATCTGGGGCTACAGGGAGACCCTGTGTCAAAAAGACAAAAAAATAAAATAAAATAAATATAAATGACCTATAGGTACATGAAAAATGTTCAACATCTTTAGCCATAAAGGAAATGCAAACCAAAACTGCACTGAAATAGTATTACACCTTAATCAGAATGGCTGGAGAGATGACTCAGTGGTTACAAGCACTGGCTGCTCTTGCAGAAGACTTGGGTTCAGTTCCAAGCCCAAATGGAGGCTAACAAATACCCATAATCCCAGTTTCAGGGGATTTGATGCCCTCTTCCAACCTCCCCAGGTATTGCACACATGTGGTATACTTACATAATGCATGCAAAACACTCACATAAAATTTAGATTAAAAATTTTTTTTTCTGGGGCTGAAGAGATGGCTCAGCAGATAAGAACACTGGTTCTTGCAGAAGATTCAGGTTTTAATCCCAGCACCCACATGGCAGCTAACAACTGTAACTCCAGTCCCAGGAGATCCACATGGAAGGAGAGAACTGTCTCCTGTTTCCTATAAGTTGTCCTCTGAACCCCCAAACACATGCCATGGCACACACCCACACACAAATGAATGTAATAAAACTTTTTAAAATGTTGTATATAGCTGGTGTGGTGGCGCACACCTTTAATCCCAGCACTTGGGAGGCAGAGGCAAGTGGATCTTTGTGAGTTCAAAGCCAGCCTGGTCTACATAGTGAGTTCCAGGCCAGCTGGGGCTACAGGGAGACCCTGTCTCAAAAAGACCAAAACAAAAAAAATGTTATATATATGCAAATATGTATTAAATGTTATATATATGTATTAAATGTTATATATATGCAAATATGTATTAAATAAAAGATAGTCACTTGTATTATCCTGAGTAGAGAGACAGAACTAATTATTTGCTGGGCAGGATGAAGTTGGGAATATAGTCTAGTGGTAAAGTACTTACCTAGCATGTGCAAAGCCCTAGGTTTAATCCCCAGTACCACATACACAAAAAGAAAACAAGAGTTTTTCATGTTTTTTATCCAGCGTAATTAAAGAATAATATATAGAGCCAGGTATGGTGGTTCACAAGCACTCAGGAGGCAGAGGCAAGTGGATCGCTATGAGATTGAGACCAGCCTGGTCTACATAGCGAGTTCCAGGCCAGCTGTAGCTACAGGGAGACCCTAAAAAAATAATAATTTAAAAATGTAGTGTTTTGCTGGCATATATGTAAGTGCACCAGTGTCATGAAGTGTCTGAAGAGGGCATCAGATCCTCTGGAACTAGAGTTACAAACAGTTGTTAGCCACCATGTGGGGGTACTGGGAATCAAACCTGGGTCCTCTGCAAGAACAATGTTCTAAACCAATGAGCCATCTCTCCAGCCCCTTTCTACCATTCATTTATTCATTTATTCTTTATCTTATTTATTGACAGGGTCTCCCTGTAGCCCCAGCTTGCCTGGAACTTGCTATGCAGACCAGGCTGGCCTTGATCTCACAGAGATCCACCTGCCTCTGCTTCCTGAGTGTTGGGATTAAAGGCATGCTACTACCTTTTTATGACAGGGGGGATCTTTTTGAGATAGGATCTCCCTATAGCCCTAGCTAGTCTGGAACTCTCTACATAGACCAGGCTGGCCTAAAAATATCTGCCTGCCTCTGCCTCTCAAGTGCTAGAAGTAAAAGCATGTGCCACCACATCCAGCATTTTGGGATTTTTTTTTTCTTGTTTTGCCACCTTATTTTTTGAGACAGGGTCTCTACTTCAGCTGAACTGGCTCACCAGTGAACCCCTGGGACCTGTCTCTGCACTGCAGGATTGAGGTTACAGGTGTATGCCATCACCTCTAGCTTTTTACATGGGTGCTGGGGATCCAAACTAAGATCCTCATGCTTTCAAGGCATGCACTTTACCCACAGAGACATCCGCCAGCCCCTATATTTATATAGTTTCATTTCACTAAAACTTAAAAAGTTGCTTTCATATTATGAGAAAGAATATATTTCCCTGTACTCAGGAGGCTGAGGCATGATTGCTGAGTTTGAGGTTAGCCGTGGCTACATGTTAAGTTCCAGGCCGCCCTCATCTAGAGTGCAACCCTGTCTCAAAAACAGAAAACGTATACATATAACCCAAGTAGCTTCCTCCATTCTCAATATTCTGCACTGAGCCTTTGTAAGTCCCTTTACGTTTTTAAAATTATTTATTGTATATGTGTGTGGGGGAGGTATATCCCATAATGCAAGTGTGGAGGTCAGAAGACAACTAGGGAGAGTTGGTTCTCTCCTTCTACCATGTGGGTCCCAGGGATCAGACTCAGTTGTCAGGCACCTTTTTCATGGCATTCAATATACAGGTTTGGGGCGGAGCATGGTATTACATGCCTCTAACCCAGCACTTGGGAGATAAAGGAAGGATTACAAGTTCAAAGCCAGCCTAAACTACAGTGAGACCTTGTCTCAAAAATTAAAAAGTTCAGGGGACTGGAGAGATGGCTCAGAGGTCAAGAGCACTGGCTGCTCTTGCAGAGGACCTGGGTTTGGTTCCCAGCACCCACACGGCAGCTAACCATTTAACTCCAGTTCCAGGGGATCCAATACCTTCTTTTGGCCTCCATGAGCATGCTATGACTTGGGTACACTTACATGCTAGCAAAACACTCATACACATAAAAATCAATTTAAAAATTTTAAATTAAAAGTACAGGTTCTATGATCAGAGAAGGGTCAGGTTCCAGTCTTTGAATTGTGTCAGTTGCCTGCTGTGGGACTTTGAGCAGGTCATTCCTTCCTGAGACTGATGCCACTAAGTCAGGCTAGTCGTCTTTCCCACAGTTGTGAAGAGGAGATGCAGAACAGTAACAAGTACTATGCTGGTGCCAGATAGTGTCCAGTGAATGGTCACTGTGGCAATATTCATAGGCAGCCCTTCTCTGCCTATGCTGGGCAGAGGGAAGCCATGGAGCTGGATCAGAGAGTGCAGGCACTGAAATCATAGTTGGCACTGGGAGGAAAACAGATGGGGCCAAGTCTTGAGGAAGCAACAGATAGATTCAAGTGGAGGTAGTGAGGAAGCCCAGGCCAGCAATGTAGTACAAGACCAAAGCCAAAAAGCTACTTACTCTTACTACTGTAAGAGGCTATGAACAAACAAAACTAAGACTCAGGCTTGCCAGCTCCAGAGCCTCTATGCTCCACCCCCTTTTGCCTTGACCCCTCACCACTGCTACAGCAAGCTTTCCAGTAACTGTTGGAAAATCTCATCTCTCTTCCTCTATGGAGGATGGGGTGGGAGGGGGGAGATGTTAAGTATGGAGGAAGGTCTGACACACTGGCTCCAGCCAACCGGGAGCCTGATTTCCTTAGTTAGATTAAGATCTGGACCCACAGAGTGGTCCAACCCAACACCGGCACTTGGTCCAAGATCTTCTGTCAGACAATTTCCCTCTCTGCAAGTCCCTAGAGTAGGGCTTCTTCAGGTCTCGTCCCCATTTGGCAGCTTACTCCTGCTATGCTACTTAAATAGTAACAGCTACATCTGAATTAGTAAAGAACTCTGGCTCTGGGTGGACTCAACCACAGTCTTTGTGGGCCCCAGGCTTGTTCAACCTGGGAACACACTCCATCAACACTGACTTCATTCTTGGATCTGAGTACTGAATTCTGCCCTTGAAAGGTTAACCCCGGAGGCAGGAAAACTCTCCCATCCTCAACAAAAACAGAAGCTTCCATTCCCACTTGGAGAAACATAGCAGGTGGGTTCTTGAACCATGTTATAGCATCCTAAGGAAATGGAAAACAGTAAAGAGTAGTGATTAAGTTTAAAATCCCAACTCTGTTTTTTGCTGTGTGGCCTTGGTCTAGTCACTATACCTCTTTTTTTTTTTTTTTTTTTTTTTTTTTTTGGTTTTTTTGGAAAAGGGTTTCCCTGCCCCCACTACTGGATCAGAATCAGAAACGGCCCTCATGTGATGATGGCTGAGTTTTTGGTCTTTTTGAGACAGGGTCTCCCTGTAGCCCCAGCTGTCCTGGAATTCACTATGTAGACCAGGCTGGCCTTGAACTCACAAAGAACCACCTGCCTCTGCCTCCCAAGTGCTGGGATTAAAGGCGTGCACCACTATGTCCAGCCATGTCACTACACCTCTTAAAAGAGAACATTAACCATGTACAGATGTAACATGATTGGCATTGTGCTAGCCCATTTCAAGAGCTCAATGGATGACTATTAATTATTATTTTGGTCTTTTTTTGAGACAGGGTCTCCCTGTAGCCCTGGCTGTCCTGGAACTCACTATGTAGACCAGGCTGTCCTTGAACTCACAGAGATCCGCCTGCCTCCCGAGTGTTGGGATTAAAGGCGTGTGCCACCACGCCCAGTGACTATTAATTATTATAGCCTTAAAAAGTGCATGGGCATTGATGGCAAACACCACATCTAAACCCGGCATGACTACTTACTAACCAGCCTGGAGCAAATCACTGAAATTTTGAGTTTCATGGACTACACCTATAAAACATGGCTGATCTTAGGGAGAAAAAACTTTTCTGCATTCTGACTGCATTTTTCAATACTGACAACATACCAGAAAAGGGGAAAGCAAGAAAAATCTGCTATGGCTTAACTTGTACATATCCTATCAGAGGGTAAGGCCAGGAAGACACACAGCTATAGACCTGGTATGCCCAGTAAGTATTGGCTGGTATTCTAGTCAAAATGGCAACAAAATAAAATTTTAATTTTTCCTGAATGCACTGCTAATTGAGATAGCCAGGCCAAGGTTTTATTATTATTAAATTTTTATTTATTGAGGGGAGGGCTGTGAGCCACAGCATGTATGTGGCAGTCAGAGAACAACCTTCAAGAGTCAGTTCTCTCCACAATTTAGGATCAATCTCACTGGCCTTTTTTTTTTTTTCTGTTTTAAGATCTCATTGAGGCTAGGTTGGACTCAAACTCCTAGTCTGTCTCTACCTCCCAAATCTGGGAGGTGTACCACTGCACCTAGCCTACTATCAACTCTTTGCAGTTAAAATTGAGTCTCAACAGAGTATCACTGCAAATTGTTTATTAAAACACAAAGCAATGGACAGTGAAAAACATCCTGATTTTTTACTTTTTGGTGGGAGTAGGGTGGGGCATGAAAGGGGTAGGGACAGATGGAGACAGCCCAGAAGGAATGACAGCTCTATCCACCCCTACTGCTTCCCTGGCCAGCCAGGGGCTCCTCAAGTACATCTTGCTGTGCTGCTGTAAATGTTACGTTGTGGCCACAGACAGTCGGTTTGGCCTCTGCAGGAGAAGGTGGGACACAGTAGGAGCTACAAGGGCTACTAACAACTTGATACTTTTCACCAATACTTGGTACCACACAAAGCAGCCAGGCTCCATTTAGAGGGATGGGGACGGTTTCCTGACAAGCCAGGTTGGGCCAACAGTGGTTGAAGAGGCTTCCATGAGCTCAGAATAGACAGCTGGTCCAGCCTGAGGAAAACTCCGGGAATGGTAATGTTCCTTAAATCCAAGGAGGGAACTAATCCAGGGTCAAATTCCTTTTCATTCCCTGGATCACACCCAGGAAGAGGGTCTCTTCCCTTGTTTTGCCACGACATCTCTCCTTGCCAAGTCTCCCCTCCCACCTGGCACCTCAACTCTCCTTTCCTGACAGTTGTCCTTTGAAAGGACGGAAAGCGCACTTCAGTTTTATTTTGTGTTTTTTTTTTTTGTTTTTTTTTTTTTTCATGAACATAAAGCACTGAAGCTCAAAATAGAGGTGAGAATAGAGTTCTGCTTTTCCCGATGCTATGTGCTCCCATCACACAAGACTGCCTGGATGCAAACAGTGCCAAGGCCCTCTCTGCCAACTTCAACAGGCACTACTGTTTCCCTGGCTGCCAGCACAATCCTGGCTCCTTGTTTTTATACTCCTGAGAGAAACCCATCCCAAGAGATCTATCCTGTTCTTTTCCTGCCAATCCAACCAGTCCTCAAATCATCTGCTCTTATCAAGATGATTTGGCCACCCAAAGCAAGCAAGACAAAGCAGCTGGGGAAAGACAAACCAGATTGGCAGCAAGCCACATGTGTGCAAAGACACTGGCCCTCATTGGGCAGCTGACCACTGGTGCCAAGCTGGCTTCTGCCATCATGAGGAAATCTAGCCCTCTTGCTCCAGTAGAGGTTAAAAAAAAAAAAAAAAACAAAAAAAAACAACCCAGAGAATTCTAGTTTCAACTGGAAGAGAAAACTGTTCTGCTTTCTCTGAAGCTTGAACATAAGGCTTCTCTACAATTTTCTTAAGAGCTCTTTGATCCGTAATTATATCTTTCCCTAGAAGAGGCAGATTTCTTCTAAGCTCCCTGAGCAGATCCCTGGATGTTTGTGGCTCTGCTTCTGTGTAGTCTTATCCCAGTCTTCATTCTCAGAGGCCACAGCAGGAGGCCCAAAGACACTTCCCCTAGCTCTGTCTTTTAATAGCAGAAGCATCTGTTAGTCTCTCACTTGGGAATGCTCACCTGCTCTCCTAGGTTCTTTTAAAGTCATGGAGGATAGTGTTACACGTGGTTGCCACAATTCCATTAAGATTCCCCAAGGCAAGAAGACACTTGAATTATGTCAGAGTAGGCCAGCAAGAAGAGGGGAGGAATGGGGGAAACAGCCCCATGGCAGGGACTGTAGGACCCCTGCCCAGACCTGAATCTAGAGGGAATGCCCACCTTGATTCAGAGCAGGAGAGGAAAAGGCACTGTGCTGACCGGGATGGGTCCTTCCCCAGTTCCCAGGGAGGGTAGAGAACCTGTTGATTCTTTCCCTGGACTTCTCGAAGTGAGCCAGTTTCTAGGGAAAGGGATCTAAGTGCTAGGACAAGGAAAATACTGCTGCTGTTCTCAGGTTCTCAGTTGAGACTCTGGAAGCCAGGTCAGGCCTTCCTAGGAGAAGCTATAGACAGGACAAAAAGAGAAATTCCTTAAAACAGAAGCTTCTCAGAAAAATAAGTCAAACCATACCTCTAAAATGGGATCAAACGTATTTCCAGGCACAGAATGGGGGAAAATCAAGCACAACTCAAAATTCTCTCCATCCCTTCAAAACTCATGTGACCTCAGGATCTCCTAGTTAGCACAAGGTCACACCCTCAAACAACAGGTGGCCCTTCTGACACCACTGGCATTTGAAGATTATCTTTTAAATCATCAGAACTCCGAGAACCCACTGAGCAGCTCTTTCCTAGGAGTGATGACTTTCCAGAACAATGGATTTGGTTTAGGAGACATGGATCCCACAAATTGTTTCTTAGCATGACATCTGAATAAGACCCAAAACAATCCAGTTATCCAGTTAAGAGATCAGCTGGCCCCTGACCCAAACCAGGCTAGACCTGACGACTCAGCCCAGAAGATGTCTTTACTTGGTCCTCCCAGGAATTTTAACAGAACCACACTTCTAGCAAATGGAGCTTCGCTGTCTGCTTGTTCCTGCCAGCTGGGATCAGTGGTCCCTAAAACTCTGGGTCAGAGCATAGATCAAATAGAAAAGTGGGGTCTCTTCTCCAAGTCCCTAACTGGTGCCACTCACTCCTCCAACCCCAGGGAGACTCCCTCTAGTGAAGCCTCTGAGTCCTTGCACTAATTTAAAACACAGAGGAACAAAGAGTGCAAAAAGCAAAAGATGAAGAGTAATTCTGGACACACAATATAAAAATAAAATTAAAGCGTGCCCCATCCCACCCCTTTAACCTAAACTTCATGTACCTACATCATCTTGGAGGAGAAAAAAAAAAAGCTTTTCAAGTTCAGCATCATGAGCTGGCTATTGCCAGCCCTAAGCAGCTCTTGTTAGCTGGGTAGGCTTGGCTCCAGGGGAATCTACCCCAGCCCCCACCATACTCCTTTTCCCTTCTGTTTCCTCATTTCCCTTTTAGTTTTTGTTAGCTACAGAAAGATGTTCCTTCCGTTTGGACACAACCGAAGAGGAAAGCACCCATCCCTATCCCTGTGGGAAGGGGTGGGCTTGGAAACAGAGGCAGAAGCAGAACTGCTTGGCTTACAGTACCATTAGGAAGTGGCCCCGGAGTCAGGGTTTCCTTCTGAGACTCTGAGTCACCAAAGGGATGACTTGAGGTGAGGAGGCAGGACCCCTCCTCCGTCAGAGACCCAGGCAAACGAACAAAGCAAAACGGAGGCAGCTAGTGCTCCCATCATCTTGTTTACTCTGTTGACAGAGGCCCACAGCTTTGGAAGTTGTGATGGACCAGAAACCAAAGCCACTGTCAGAAGTCTAACTAGTCAGTACACCCGTTGTCCTAGGCAGGTGGTCCCCAACACCAAGGCTACAGTACCTCAACCTTTAGAAGCAGGGGAGCTTTGGGAGCACTCCAAGTACTCCTCTGACTGCAACCTCAGGCCACAGCCATCCAGCTGCCTGACTCAGTACCCTAAGACTGAGCTCAAGTCACAGAGAAAATGAAGAGCTACAATTTTCCAATAACTAAATGCTAACCTGGAATAATCATTAGGAGCCAAAGCCAGGCCATGAGCCCATGAGCTACTTTGTCACACAGCTCAAATATATGGAGCTCTTTTAAAATATATAAGGCAAACTCAAAAGTCAACATGTTCTAGAAATATGGCCATGGCCTGAGTCTACACTGCTCTAACCCAAGCTAAAGCTAACTCTGCTGCCTCTCACCCAGAAAATTCCTTTTCGCTTGGCTGGGTTGTTGCTCACTGTTGCCTTAACAGAGAAGTGAATAAAGGTGGCCAAAAAGATGGATAACAGGGAAGATTCATTCCATACAGAAATGTTTACTGGGATCTGAGACAGACACTGAGATGCTAACGTTAACTTCGGAGCCTCCAGGACTCAGGCTGACTAGGAGTCTTTCAGTCCCACTGCACCAAGAATCTGACTGCTACTTGGATAGAGGAATGAAAGGGCAGTGGAGCATACTACTATAATCAATGAGAAAAACGGCTGGACTGGTGCAGGCAGTCTAGTTCTCTGGGGCAACTCTAGGCATAAACAGAAACTTGTTGAATGGTAACAGAGGAAATGGGGAAATGAACATCAGATACTAGACATTCTAAACAGTGGTCAGTCACTTATTAGGGCTCAAGTCTCTGAGGTTGCTCTTAAGTTATGCTAACATAAGCCTTTTCAAATCCAAAGACCTGAAGAGACTTTTAAGGTCAAGTGTTCTGTTGCTGCAGGCTGGAAAGCATCCCTGTTCCCTGGCAGCAAGACCCTTCAAAAGGGCCAGTAAAGAACTACTGGGTCAGGTCCTCCTGGCTGCTGGCTCAGAGACCCAGGGAGGGAGGCACCAACAAGGTGAGACGGTAGAGGGTAAGACACTCAAGCAGAGAGAACGCCAATCGCCTACCTCCTTCCCCTTTTGACAATGACTCAGTATGATAGTTCAGGGTGAGGCGCGAGAAGAGATTCCAAATGAGCCAGATTAAGAGAAAAACCAAGAAGAAATCAAGTCCCCAAGAGGCACTGAAATAAAGAAGGATTGTTGTGATAACAAGTCATAGGCAATCTGAGGACCTGACATACACTAATTGTCTTGGATACCAGACAGTCCTCTAACTGGCACATGTCAGGGAAATAATGACAAATCACAAATACTTGAGGTGGAACCATCAATGAATTATCTAGAAAGGCTTTCAAGTAAGCAAGTGCTTACTTTTCTGTTTTCAATGCTTCCTTTTTGTCTTTACTACCTGACCTATTCACCTTCTCACACACATATTCTCTGAATAACAAAATTTCTCAAGACTCATCTGAACATAACTTCAGAACACACCCAACTCCCAGTGCTGATCTTTTCAGGTAAGAAGATGACATTTTCCTGTAAAAGTTTAACCTAAAAAAGGAACTGTGACTACTCTGAGTTCAGACTCTTTTCCATTAGGTATACAAATAAAGATCCTTGAAGAGGAAGGATCCATTTACCTAAGAACCCCAGAGAGGAAAGAGACAGCTGGGGGCCAATCACAAAGAGAAGAACAGGACTGAAGCAGGTCTGGGACCAGTGGTGGGTGAGGGCTGCTCTCCACTCACTCTGCCTCTTTTTATCTCCTTTAATTTGTGTGTGTGGTTTGTTTCTCTGTGTGTTTTGTTTGTTTTTTGTTTTGCTAATCACTCTGAAAAACATGGAAACCAAAAGCAGTATGCTTGGTTTCCTTCCCACTCCCCTCCATCCTACTTAGGATGGACATTTGTTCTCACAACCGGCAGAGGCAGAAGAGAGTTGGAATGAACACTCCAAAGGCCACCAGGATGGGAAACATGAGGCTGCTGTTGTCCGAGGCATAGGGGTTAGGTGTGCGGGGGCCTGACTGCACCCTGTTCTTGTTGGTGTGTCTTTTGAGGTTAGACCCCTCATCATATTCTTCTTCTTCTTCTTCCTCTTCTTTCTTCTCTAATCCTGGATGAGGCTGCAGCTTTGGTACATCTAATAAGAAGAAAGAAAATGCCTATTAAGTAAATTAAGATCCACAGCATTTAAGTGAGGCCATTAAGAGCAGTGAATGAGTCACAATAAAGAGATTCCTGTGACCTAACTAGGGTCCACAGCAAAGAGCAGAAAGGGTCTCCAGCCTAAAACAGCAGAGTACTATGAACATTAGTCTTCAGATTTAACTAAGAAAGTAATAAAGGGCTGTACCTACAGGGAGGTACAGTTATGCTTCACTTCTGTGAAGCCTCAAGAGGTCCAGATTAGATAGGGTCAATGACCTGACACCTAAAACTTAACCTTTCAAATCCCTCTTCCGCCTCCCCCCAAGGTCACACTCCCTTTGATTCAGAGGCTAAAGAGTTGATCCACAAAGTTCTGGTTCTCAGCCTCACTATACTCTGCCCTGACTATTCCTAAAAAAAACCCAAGTACAGAGCTGTTTGGTGTAATATATGCTCTTCCTAGAAGTCACATATCAACACTGAGTGGGGGAGGGAGGGCATCAAGGCAAGAGGATGAGACTCTGAGTGTATTCAAGACAAGATGGGAAAAGGCACAGATCTGGTGAGGGAGAAAAGTCACAAGTTTTTCTACAAAATTCAGCCCAAGAAGCTGCATCCATAAGCTAAACATTGTGTAAGAAATATTTCCTAAGGCTGAATTTCAAGGTCAAGGAGACATTAATAAATGAACTTTAGTCTCAGTGTAGTGCAGAAATGCCTACCAAAACTCAAGGAACTCCTACTTTGGTCTTTTTCTCCAAGGGAATAAGCAGATGTCAAAAAAATAGAATAAGGACACATTTCAAGTAATTCTATTACACTTTTCTGTGTGCGTATGTGCATGTGTATACATGCACACCTTGGTGGCAGTGTTGGGGTTAGGGGACAACTTGTGGGAATCAGTTCTCTCCTTCTACCATGGGGGTCCTGGAGATCAAATTCAGGTTATCAGGCTTGGCAGCAAGTGCCTTTACTCAATGAGCTGTCTCACCATCCCTCAGGTAATTCCAAAGGACTGGAAATGGGTCAGGCATGGTGGCAATGCCTTTAATCCCAGCACTCAGGAGGCAGAGGTAGGAGGACCTCTATGAGTTCAAGGCTAGCCTGGTCTACATAGCAAGTTCCAGGCCAACTGGGAGACTCTGTCTCAAAAATACAAAAAGGGGGGGGGGGGGGGGAAGGACTAAATGGTGAGATATCTCAAGAGAAACCATTTTGAATCCCAATTCATAGGGCAGTTAAGAACTTTTAAAGACCAAGCAGTTGATTAAATAATAGCAGGAAGACATAGACAGATCTTACTTCAATGCTCATGGCTAGCACCATGTGATACTTTGTCCTCATCTGACTCTGAATTCCCCAAAATTTGGCTTTAAGTAGCTCCAAAATAATAATCAGTTAAATTATTTCTCAAGGGCCTCCTCAACCACATCCTTCAGCATATGTCAAAAAGCAAAGGTGGGGCGTGGTGGCGCGCACCTGTAGTCCCAGCACTTGGGAGGCAGAGGCAGGTGGATCTCTGTGAGTTCACGGCCAGTCTGGTCTACATAGTGAGTTCCAGGACAGCTGGGACCACAGGGAGACCCTGCTTCGAAAAGACCAAAAAGAAAAAAAAAAAAAAAAAGGTGAAAAGCCCAACTTACCATCTACTGTCCCCGCCATGATGTAGAGTGCACAGACTTTGGGATTATCATAGTACCCCTAGGAAATGGGAAAGAACTGTCAGCCCCACATGGCACCAAACCTTCCCCAAGTTACTCTTCTGGCCTTTCCTCAGATGTAAGGCACAGTGTAGCAGGAGGCCTCCAAAGATGGTGCGGACCCAGAGCCCTGGGATTCAGCAAGAATTCACTTCACTTCTTGGTCCGCAAATAGCCCGCCAAAAGGAGCCCACGCCTTCGTACCCTGCTCGTGAGCCCAGTGACTGCTGACAGACTGCGTGTCGCGGACCAATCAGAATACGATACACTGACTAAAGGGACTTGGGGGTGGAAAAAAGGGAAATATAAGGTGTGCCTCCTCCTGCATTAAACGAGTCTGCAGCACCTCGCCTAGTGCTTGCTTCTACCCAACTCCCGGGGTCTGTGTGTCGTGACCCCGCGCCTCTTACCCCCCCAATCGGCAGGGGATCCAATCCAGGTTAGGGTCTTCACAGCTGGCCTGAGGAGAACCCACAACAGCACAGTAGAAGTATTACCTTGACAAACTCAATGTAGAGTTTTCCTGTGAAGGTGGACACCTCCCCCTGGACACTCAGCTTCCCCTTTCTGATGCTCATAGGGATGATTTCATCATGAGCTGTGCTGTGCCCAACACGATCAAAGATATCCAAGTCTTTCACAACAACATGGCCATTTAGCCGGACATCAAATACCTTCCAGGATTAGAAAAGGAGACAATGTCAAAATCAGCTTTACACTCCTTGGGCTTCAAGTTAAAAAACAATAAAAAATTAAGACACTGGAAATACTCCAAGGTGACTAGAGTTCTTTACCTGAGCCAAATGAAAACCATGTTCCTTCACTGTCAAAATTTCATACTGGCCTTAAAGAACAAGAAGCTCAGCCAGGCGTGGTGGTACACGCCTTTAATCCCAGCACTTGGGAGGCAGAGGCAGGTGGATCTTTGTGAGTTCAAGGCCATCCTGGTCTACATAGTGAATTCCAGGACAGCTGGGGCTACAGGGCTCAAAAAGACAAAACAAAAACATGGTGGCTGAGATCAAGAGGAACAGGGAATGTACTGTTTAAGGAGGCTGGCTGTGAGCAAATGAGAAACTGCAATCTGAACTGGGAAACTTGAGTTTTGAGTCTCACAGATGGTGGTCTACATAGTGAGACCCTGTCTCAAAAAAAAGAAACAAGCTCAGCAGGGAAAGAAGGTAATTTACAGGAAAGGATAGAGAAAAAGAATAAGGCTAAAAATAAGAAAGTGCTAGAGGGGCTGGAGAGATGGATTAGCAGTTAAGAACACTGGCTGTTCTTAACCCTGGTCTTGCAGAAGACCCAGGTTTGAATCCCAGCACCCATATGGCAGCTAACAACTGTCTGTAACTCTAGTTCCAGGGGATCCGGCTCCCTCTTCTGATCTCCATGGGCATTGCACAACAAGGGTGCACTTACACACATGTAGGTAATACATGCATACACATAAAATAAAAATAATAAAATTTAAGCCGGGCATGGTGGCACACACCCTTAATCCCAGCACTCAGGAGGTAGAGGTAGGTGGATCTCTGTGAGTTCAAGGCCAGCCTGGTCTACATAGTGAGTTCCAGGACAGCTGGGGCTACAGGGAGACCCTGTCTCAAAAAGACCAAAAAAATAATAAAATAAAATAAAATAAAAAGTGCTGGAGGGGCTGGAGAGATGGCTCAGTGGTTAAAAACACTGGTTGTTCTTGCAGAAGACCCAGATTCAAATCCCAGCACCCACATAGCAGCTAATAACTGTTTTAACTCCAGTTCCAGGGGATCCGACAGCCTCTTCTGTCCTCCGCGGGCATTCTTACCTACATGCAGGCAATACACGCATACACATAAAATAAAATAAAATTTTTTTTAAAAAAGTGCTAGAAACCGAGGAAGGAGAAATAACTAGGAGGTTCTTAAAAAGACCAGTTAGTTGCCAAGAACTAGGATCACAACTGTTTTTTGTCACCCAAATAGAGCTAATGGGCAATGAGACACACAGCTTCCCCAGGTGTGGGAGGCACCCAACTTTTCCTCAAAGCTTCCTATTCCTCTCTTTTGAGGAGGCTTATACATGCTCTAGCCTCAAAGCAGAAATCTGCACAAGAGAAACAATGTACTACTGACCAAGCAGGGGCCCAAGTGTGCCTCACCTTCTGCTGGGACTGTGCAAAGTAGACTTCAGCAAATTTCAACACTAGCACATAGTCCCCCTCCTCCTTGATGGGCACTTCATAACCAAAGGTCTCTTCATTGTACCGTTCTGTTTGATAGAGGATCTGGTCCTCAGGGTTGGAACGCAGGATTGGCAGTTTCATGCCATAGTCTGATGCTGGGGACAAAAGACAAAGGGAAAGTACATCAGAGGCAAGACATAAAAGAGATCCCAGAACTGCCAGAGGCATTTCCAGGGCAATGCTAACTAATAGCTCCCCCAGTACAGTAGGGCCACCTCCTCTGAACCTGGATCCAAAGAGAGTGCACACAAAGTCAAGAATCAGATAGTTACTGATATGGAAGAGTAACATGACAGAAACTAAACTCTAATCACCTAACAGCCCCTATAACCTTTACAGATGAACTTTTTGACAGCACATTAAAATAATTTTCCCTGGTTGCAGGAAAAGGATGGGAAATGAAAAAATCCTAATTTATTATGTGAAGGAATTACTGTAGTGCAGATGCCTGGGTCCCCAAGAAGGAGAGCTCTGAGAAAATTCCTGAAATCAGGGGGTGAGTGGGACACCAGAAACTCTAATCACGGGGGTTCAGTTCAAATGTTTAGTTTTTTTTTTCCCTCAGCCAGAAAAACAGAGTCTAAACCAAATAGGATTATCTAGTTAGAAAAGGCATTCTTCGTTGTCTTTATTATTACAATCTACTAACTGTACGTTTTGTTGTTTTTTTCAGAATTTTTATTTGAAAAATTCCCAGGCTGACAAAGAAAAGCAGGCTCATAAAAGAGGGGTGGATGCTTGCAACTTCCTCTCAATGCAAGTCACAGACTCAAAAACCCCTCAGCTACTCTCGTGAACATTTCCTCAGACCAATAAAAGAAAAGAGCTTTACTGAAGCTCCAGCACTTAACAGAACACCTAGCACATAACAGTCACTTGGAAGTTTTGCTAAATAAACAAATGCGAACTAAGGTGTCTGGACAGCAGCGAACCATGCCATCTCACCATAAAGTGACAGCATCCTGCAGCAAAAACAACCTGCCACAGGGCGTGGTGACACAGGCCTTTAGTCCCAGTACTTGGGAGGCAGAGGCAGGCAGATCTCTGCAAGTTCAAGGCCAGCCTGGTCTACAAAGTGAGTTCCAGGCCAGCTGGGGCTACAGAGAGACCCTGTCTCAAAAAGACGAAAAAAAAAAAAAAGAACCTGCCAAAGTCCTATTGTCACCTCTGACTTAAAATGCCCATCTTAGGAAGCCACTTTTTTCATTTCACAAATTAATAAGCGTCAAAGTAAAACTTCTACAGTTCCCAGTCCTCTATATGTTCTTCCATGCAATAAACTAAACTAGGGTCTTCCCAAAAATATATCACCTTCCAATCTCAAGAGCTGAATACTTAATGCATCCTGAAGAGAGCAACCAGGTTCCTACAGGCACCAGTGTTTGTCAGTGTTCATAAATCTACAGACAGAACAGTAGTGTAGTCTCTCCTCTAGCACAGTCTTAAAACTTCAAGACCATCTTCTACTCTCACATGGTGACCCTGAAGACATTTGGTACTTAGATCCTTTGATAGATGTCTAAGATACTCTATGGCCACACCACCCTGAACATGTTCGATCTCATCTGATACACACCTCTGGGCACATCCCCTGAGCTCTACCCTCTGAATCACTAAAATTTCAAAGGAGAGGACATGACAAAAGGTGAAAGATGAACTAAGTGACCCAATGGCTGGGGTCAGCCTTTGAAAAAATAAACATAACTGTTAACGGTTCCTGTAAGTGACATTAGCCATAAGATCAGGTGGACTGATGAGACAATGAAACAGGAAGCTCACTGTACTTGTGTCTTCCGACTTTTCTCCCTATGTCTCCTTGAGAAATCGAAGCAGCACATCATTACAAAGGATGTACTGCTAATATGCTCCAGGTTTCCCAAGCTCAAAAACCCCAGTACACATACCTATAGAACCTAAGACTGTTACTTCTCTTCCAACTAAGCTCTAAGAACTGCCTTCTTCCATGAGGATTGTGACTCATGCAAACTGGAACATTAGCTAGATTTCATTTATAAATACACAAGAAATTTTGCACATGTATGGACAACCATTTTTCCCCCTCACTAAATGGAAAAAGTGAGAAACTGACAGTAATGTAATCTGTGGCAGCCTCAATATCATAGCTCAGAAAACTAAGTCATGTGAACAAAAGTTACTTAATAATCTGAGGAGTACCTTTAACTATTGTCTCTTTAAACCTCAAGAGGCTATCCTAAAAGACCTGCCACATGCAAAGTCTAGAGACAAGCAGCAGCAAAAAAGATTTTTCTTCCCTCCTTAGTCTTTATGCGTTTATAGCTAAACAGATCTCTCTAAAATACAATCAAATGTAGAGTCAGCATACTGAAGTTGGCACAATATAGCTCAGATGTTAACCGAAAAGGAAGGAGGTCAAAGGGCCTACATTATGTCTACTGCTTCTTAGCCCTAAACAATACAGGGTCCAGGATCCTTGGCAAATTCAATCCAGATTCAGAGTGAGACAAGTCTAGATTTAAATTCTTGCTCTACCACCTACTAAGAGATGATCAACAAGTTGTTTCTTTGAGGTCTGTTTTCTCACCTATAAAATGGGGTTATCTAGAATTGTGGCAAGGACAAAAATACCTGTAAAAATCTTAATAGAGCCAGGTGTGGTAGTGCACGCCTTTAGTCCCAGCACTCAGGAGGCAGAGGCAGCCAGATCTCTGTGAGTTCAAAGCCAGCCTGTTCTACATAGCAAGCTCCAGACCATCTGGAGCCACAGAGACCCTGTCTCAAAAATACCAAAGAATCTTAATAGAGCATCTCACATGAAGACAGACACAAAAGACAAACATGTAGCTAAGTAGGCAGAGATAATGTACACAGCAAGCACTAAATAAATACCCCCACTCTAGGGAGTTTAGAGAATGGATTAAAAAGAAAAGGAATAAAATGAATTGAGAAACTGCAGCTGAGAAGCAGACAAGAGAAAGAGCAAGCAAACCCATTCTATGAGATCACCATGAAGTGCCAAAAGTGGCAATTCACACCTGAAATCTCAGCAGAGGAGCGTGAGGCAGAAGGACGGCCACAAGTTCAAGGCCAGCCTGGGCCATAGACTGAGAGTCTGGATTCAAAAACTGACCGAACATAAATTGCTTCTTGGAGCCTCAACATTGCTTATTACCCCAACTTAGGTCTCCTGAGCACTAGATTCTTTTTCTCAGTCATTTCTTTCTCAAGTGAGGTTAGTTTCTAAAGAATTATGCTGAATTACAGACGCAAGGAACCTGGGGATTCAGTGACCTACATTTTCTACCTGTGAACCTCTAGTACTTGAAGGGCCCACAAATGAAGCCTGTTTGTAGGTAATAATACAGGCACAGAATTCTAAGCAAATGTTGTGGCTACATGCAAATCAGAGGCAGCAGAGACTAACCTTCTCCTCCTTCCTCCCTATACTCTCTACCAAACTCTTACTTCCTCAAGTCTAAATCCTTCCTTAGCCAAAAGGTGTAGGCAGCTCAAGAAAGGGTCTTCTTCAGGCTGTGGAATAGTTATTTGATACCCTCAGGTCCCAGCCAGCATTTTTCCCCTCTGGAGCCATGTTCTGACCTATTTTTAATTCCATGTAAAAGGTCATCAAGTGTTGGGGGTGGGGGGCAGGGAGCTGTGGCACTTTACCCTACTCTAAACAGAAAAGTTTTCAGAGTCATGACATGAGAAGCATTATTGGGAAGGAAAACACAGCTCAGAGGTAAAGGAAGTTCTTCAAGGTCATACAACTCTAGCAGGTATCTTTCTAAGAAAAGAAAATAGCCTTGCCTTAAAGCCAAGCCAAGTTCAGTGCCCTTAAGTTAAATAATAGGGTCTTTCCCTAGTAAGAGTCAAAAGGAACTTAGGATAACCAGCTAAAAACCTAGAAAGCCAGGCATAGTGGCAGTTACCTGTAATTCCAATTCTTGGGAGGTAGAGGTAGAAAGATCAGGAGAGCAAGGTCATCCTCAGCTACTTGATGAGCTTGAGGTCAACCTGGGCAACAAGAAAACCCTGTCTCAAACAAACCCCTCTGGAATGTACAGAGTGCGGAAGCACCTTCTACAGTGGAACCTGCATCTGTTGAACTGCAGCACACAGATATAAACACTTTTCCCAGACTGAACCAGCTAACTTGAGGCAGAAATGAAATTCAATAAACATGAAGTGCATTTGAATTACAAAGTCACCAGTGCCCTAGGCCCTTCAGTTACAAGAATGCTGAACTACAAAGAAACTGTAGAGAAACAGCAAGTTCAAAAGCAGGCCAAACCCTTATCTGGACTAAATTGGAAACAAATACCAGAATTCAGTTAATATAAAAGGAACTTTACTCAGAGTGGACACTGTATCACAACATGTGGGGAAAAGGCATAGAGCTCCTACTGTAATTAGCACAAACAGCTGCATGGGACAAGGGTCTCCAAACACCTAGCACATCCTTACCCAAACAGAGAAGGAAAGGCAGTCTAATAGCTGCACTTCCCTTTGTAGGGCTGACTCCTAAGCACAACACAAGAAAGCTGACTCCTGAGTACAAGCTTAAACATATCTGGGCACCAGACCTAATGCCAGCAAAGTGCTACTCTCAGGACCCTATTAAGTGAAATGTTGCAAGAAGCTGGTGCAAGCTAGAGTTGGCACCCCCACCCTTCTTCCCATCCACCCTTAATACTGTACATACATACAGCCTGGATTGAGGAACCTTCAATTCCACAATGCCCCAAACACTAGTGTCCAAAATGGGACTCCAATATGCATGAGGTCTGGTAGGCCTCATGTAATTTTACCTGCTACAGTAAACTCCCAAGGAACTGCAACCATGAGCCAACAACCCCAGAGCCTGGCTGACTGTTGACCAGGCCACAACAACAAAACCACCTGCACCAGTGATATTAAAAACAAAACTTCTGGAAAGAGCAGTATCTGAACACTAAACCTGGGTGGTCTTAGCCAGCTTTATCCTCTACATAGGGACCTAGTGGAACAATGTAGCCAGCCCACAGGTAATGTGAGTGAGAAAACCATTTTCCTGCTACCCTCTCCACCTTTATCTGTAGGCAAAGTCCACCAACTATAGTTTCCTCAAGGGCACCTTCCTTTCTGTTCACAGCCATGAAGGAGGAGGAATGGTCCAACATAGAGACAGTAATGCCTTGCTGCTGAAAATCTGGCCATGGCTGCCACAACTTGGAGCCCTGACTCAGCTGAACCCAGGCTACTGGTATCTACATGCCAAGGCTAAACAAATTCCAGAACAAACACAGCACTTCAGAAAACAGTGTCCCAAGATATGTATAAAAGTAATAAACTCTTACAACAAACTGTCAGGATACTTGGGGAAACAAATTAAAACCCTTATTCAAGAGCCAAATCTGGACTCTTTTGAAAAAAGAGTCTGTCTCAAAGCCTGGCATAGAGCCAAACGCCTTTAATCCCTGCACCCCGGAGGCGGAAGCAGAGGCAGAGGCAGGCGGATCTCTGAGATGGGAGGCCAGCCCCAGCTGGGGCTACAGGGAGACCCTGTCTCAAAAAACAAAAACAAATCAAAACTGTCTCCCAATTGTTTAGAGTGGTTTGGTAGCTTCTGGACCCAGCAGCATAATCCTCCAACACACCAAGCAAATTCCTTCTTAAGCCTTTTTTTCAACCCTACTTAGAGAAGAAACCAAGAATCTAGAGCACACTTCTCCAAAGAGTGGTCTGACCTATATCTGGAGTACCTGGTGCAGAATCTGGGGTCCCAAAAAGTAAGTAAAAAGAAAAGCCTATAGGGTCTGGAGTGGGGCTCAGGAACCTGCATTTTTAGCCACCTGCCCTACCAGTTCTTACAGCTGGGAAGTGGTAAAAACCACTGTTGCTCAACCACTTTCCCCATGAGCAGCAGTCAGACCTCTTAGGGATTCCTGGGGTGGGCTGTTATGTATACTCACACCGAAATTATGATCTTACACGGGTTGACCCCGTGTAAGAACATACTGCCACCAGCCTCAACGTGCAGGATGGCTTCAATCTAACCACCCCATGGGTGGCTTTCACTTTACAGCACAAAATTTCTCTCTCCAAGGAAAATAGGGAGGGAGGCTACGCTAAAACTTTACTGGACCATCCCCTTCGACGATTCCTCCCTATTCTAAGAATCAAGCCCCGCTCCCGGAGAAGGGAACAGAAAGCGGCCGATTTATGTATGGGTGGGCGAGAATCTACCAGGAATTGTCGCGATAGCAGAGCAGGGTACCGATGACATACAACCCGCGAGGCCTCGGGGTGCCAGGCAAAACGCCACCCTCGTCTTTACTTTCCCGGATGGGATGAGAGCTCTAAATAGAACTTCTCGCCAACTCTCTGCCTCAATGGCTCTTGGTAGCTTCGAGCCAGTGCTAGGCCCTGGTCTCTGGCCAGGTCCCCGAGGAAACTGTGGAGAGAAACTTCGCTCCAAAGATGAGGTCCCACGGTGCAGGGCAAGAGGCTCGGGGCCCGCAGCCAGCCGCGAGCAGCGAGCCCCGCGGGACAGGCCCCGGGTCCCATGGCTCCGCCGAGGGGCTCTCACCTCGGCCCACCCGGCCTTCCAGAGGGTCCTTGCGGAAGTGGATCCCGTGCACGTCCACATGCGCCTCGCCGCCCGCATTCACCGCCCAAACGACGCTCTCCGGCAACCCGGCCCCAGCAGCGCCCGCCACGCCGAGTCCCGGATCCCGGAGCGCCGGCAGCAACAGCAGCAACAGTCGGACCAACGCCACGGCGGCTCCTTCGACTGGCCCGAGCCCCAGCATGGCGGCCACCACCGCGAGGGCAGCGCCCGCCGACCCTCGTCCTCCGCCGGCCGCCGAGCCACCCCAGACTCAGAAAAACAGCGCCACAGACAGCTCTGCCTCGGCAACCGGAGACATGTCGCTCTCTGGCCTCCTCCACAGCCGAGGGTGCCGCCTCCCACCTCAGGAACAACCTACCCCACCGCCCAGCCCCCCAGAATGGACCCTTCAGCCAATCAGCGTCCGGCCCTCATTAATTACCCACCACCCCGCCGAGAGAGACCCCCCCATTGGCTATCGGGTCTGAAAGAGGGCGTGGCCAACCCCAGGCTCCGGCCCAACCGTCAGGCACGAGAAGGAGCGCGCGCAGAGAGAGGGAGTTCGGTTGAAGCGGCGGTTCCACGCGGAAGTGGCGGGTGCAGCGCCCAGGCGGCCCCGGAATCCCACAGCAGAATAGGAAGGTGGCCTGGGGGGGTAGGGGGAAGGTTTAGAGTAGGGCGCACTGACACGTCGCCAGCACTTCCGGTGCTCCAGATCTTGGGACCGACTCGGCTCCAGAGGGGGCGTTGCCGTCTTTCCCGCCCCCCACTTTTTTCCTCAGAGAGGCGTGAGCACACACTCTAGGAGAAGCAATGGGTGTTCCCCGAGTGAGGCGGAGGAGCCAGCCTTCCCCAGAGACGCCACATGTACAGCCGTCCACCTGAGTCCCACGAGGACACAATCCCGCCGTCAACCTTAGCGGGCTCGCGGCGTGTGGTAGCGTCCAGGAGGACGTCCAATCAGAATGCTCCAACGCAGCGGAAACGCGTGGCTTCTAAAGGAGGGGCGCCAGGCTACCCCCGTTTCCATGGCAACGGTCTCTGGCGGGCCAGAGCAAAGAGAATGGTCGTGGGTGGTGGGGGCCCATTTGGTGGCCTGGGCCGCCTGGCACAGGCTCGACCCGCGCTCCCTCTCAGTTTTTTGGTAATTAGTCGGGCGCTGCCCAAACTCCCATTTTTGCGATGAGAAAACAGGCTGCGAGTCTTCGTCTCACTGCAAGTTTAGGGTAGAGCCAAGGCAAAAGAAAAAAAGTTTTCATTATTTGTTCCATAAATAATCCCCTGTCTCTACTACTAGGGTTTCCAGATTTTGCCAACAAAATATAGAAAGCCCAGTTAAATTTGAATTTGAGGTTAAAAGAAACCATACTCATCTTAAAGAATTCATCTGGGTGCGGTGACATTCTTGTGTTCTCAGCACTTGGGAGACAGAGGCAGGAGTTTCAGGGCCGCTTTGAGCTACAGAACAAAACAACAACAAAAGCAACTAAAATAATAATACATTGTTCGTTTACAGTTCAAATTTAGCGGGACTGATTGCGCTTTACCTGACAACCCTCACTAGGTGATGAGTTTTGTGCTACAGTGAACAACAACATCCCTGGTCCCACAGGAAAACTATAGACTCTGTTTTTATGGGGTTTTTTTGTTTGTTTGTTTTATGTTTTGTTTAATGTTTTTGTTTTTTGCTGGCCTCTAGTTCACCATGTAGTCAAAACTGGGCTTAAACTTCAGATCCTCCTCCTCCCAAGCGATCGGTCATAGACTTCAAATAACTTATGACCCAGTTATTTGGAACAGTGTTGAATCGCTGTAGAAGAGCAAAAGAGTTCAAAAAATGGAGATTATAGTGGGGCACTTAAACACATTGAGCAGCAGGTCTGGTGGTGCGGTTCTGTAATCCCAGCTACTTGGGGGCAGAATGGTAAATTCAAAGCCAGCCTAAGCTACCGAATGATACTCTGTTTCAAAAAATCAAAAAATAAGTGCACAAGAATTCCTTCTCAATGGCCTGGGGACCTTGCATGAGACCTTGGGTTCAGTACCTAATACTGAAAAGAAAAGAAAGCCTTCCCCATACCCTGCAGGGGTAACTTTTGGATATATTCCCTCCAAAGTTTTTCCTTCTACTTTGCAAGTATCTGGTCTTGCTTCTCATAGACATTTTTCCAGTCCCATAAATGGGATCTGGGGTCCTGCACTGGAGTCTAATTTCACTCTTCTCCCTCCAAAAATATCTTTGGAGGAACCCATCATCACAGAGGCTTGACTGGCTCACAGAACAAGAGCAACGTGCAAATGGGTAACAGAATGACAAAAAAGTGATGAGGTGGCCTTCTTAGGCAGGGGACACAGAGCCCACAGTCTAGCTCTGTGACTACTGTGGCTGCAGGAGCTGATGTTTATGTGATTTTATGGCAGTCTGATCTGGGAGAAACAATTAGAGAAATGAGTTGAGCCAATCCAAGCATGGTGGCATGCCTGTAATCCCAGCATTGGGGACATGAGGCAGAAACATAAATTCCAAGACTGAGTGGGCTGCATAGTAAAACTCTGTCTTTAGTCTTTGAGGAAACCTCAGATGGTGAAACTTCAGCCTTCTTTGAGTCTTCCAGATCTTTGG